CACTAAGCTACTACCATGTATCAGCTCATTGAATGTGTTGTGTTTCAGGGTACACACCTACTGAATAATCTACAGATAAAAAAAGTGGGGGGGGGGGGAACCGCACCGGGTGACACCCGACCTAGCGACGCCACTAAGCTACTACCATGTTTCAGCTCATTGAATGTGTTGTGTTTCAGGGTACACACCTACTGAATAATCTACGGATAAAAAAAGTGGGGGGGGACCGCACCGGGTGACACCCGACCTAGCGACGCCACTAATCTACTACCATATTTCAGCTCATTGAATGTGTTGTGTTTCAGGGTACACACCAGCCCTGCTGTGTGTACTGGAAGGTACCAAAAAACGGACACCTGGGTGAATGGTCAAGTGATGGCTGTGAGCTGGTCTCGTCATCAGAGAACAAGACCGTCTGCGCGTGTAGTCACTTAACAAACTTCGCGCTTCTGATGGTGGGTAAGGGGTGGGTCTCTGTGCTCTCGTATGTGGTGTATGGTGTTATGTGGTCAAATGTATACCCGTAGTCTGTTTCGTCACATATGGTGTATGGTGTTATGTGGTCAAATGTATATTCGTAGTCTGTTTTGTCACATATGATGTATGGTGTTATGTGGTCAAATGTACACCCGTAGTCTGTTTTGTCACATATGGTGTATGGTGTTAAGTGGTCGAATGTATACCCGTAGTCTGTTTTGTCACATATGGTGTATGGTGTTATGTGGTCAAATGTATACCCGTAGTCTGTTTTGCCACATATGGTGTATGGTGTTATGTGGTCGAATGTATACCCGTAGTCTGTTTTGTCACATATGGTGTGTGGTGTTATGTGGTCAAATGTATACCCGTAGTCTGTTTTGCCACATATGGTGTATGGTGTTATGTGGTCGAATGTATACCCGTAGTCTGTTTTGTCACATATGGTGTATGGTGTTATGTGGTCAAATGTATACCCGTAGTCTGTTTTGTCACATATGGTGTATGGTGTTATGTGGTCAAATGTATATTCGTAGTCTGTTTTGTCACATATGATGTATGGTGTTATGTGGTCAAATGTACACCCGTAGTCTGTTTTGTCACATATGGTGTATGGTGTTAAGTGGTCGAATGTATACCCGTAGTCTGTTTTGTCACATATGGTGTATGGTGTTATGTGGTCAAATGTATACCCGTAGTCTGTTTTGCCACATATGGTGTATGGTGTTATGTGGTCGAATGTATACCCGTAGTCTGTTTTGTCACATATGGTGTATGGTGTTATGTGGTCAAATGTATATCCGTAGTCTGTTTTGTCACATATGATGTATGGTGTTATGTGGTTAAATGTACACCCGTAGTCTGTTTTGTCACATATGGTGTATGGTGTTAAGTGGTCGAATGTATACCCGTAGTCTGTTTTGTCACATATGGTGTATGGTGTTATGTGGTCAAATGTATACCCGTAGTCTGTTTTGCCACATATGGTGTATGGTGTTATGTGGTTAAATGTACACCCGTAGTCTGTTTTGTCACATATGGTGTATGGTGTTAAGTGGTCAAATGTATACCCGTAGTCTGTTTTGTCACATATGGTGTATGAGAGGAGAATGAATAATTCCAGGAATGAATTAGTGTGCCTTTATCATTGCTGGTTTGACATCAGTGAGGCTTTATTTCATAAACCGGGAGTGATCTCCCCTAAACTTTCTCGAATATTCTTATATAAAACAACAGGGGATGAAAACTCGGGACATAGTTATGATTTTTAATCCATTTTAAATACATAGAATCTCATAGAAAAAAAATTGCGCACCAAGCGAACGTCAAAACAAAATGTGCAATATAGTGCGGAATATTATTAGTACTTTATAAATTTTCAAGCTTTTTTTTGAGAAATCGGAAATAGCATAAATTACTACTTCCGGTCAACAGAAATTACTCAGTTTGAAAGAAGGTAGAGGATTAGAACTTTTACTTACGTGTGAAATTTATTTATCTATCTGAAATAGTACTCAAGTTATAGGCTTTTGAAAAATTCAAAGTGAAAAAAGTACCACTTCCGGTTATCCGAAATCGCTCAAAAGGTGAAACCGATCTACGATTTTTATAAAATACTTATATATGAAATTTTATCAACGTAGCTGTAACGGTACTCAAGTTATCGTGTTTACACACACACACAGACAGACACACAGACATACGGACAAGATTGCAAAATTATTTTTTTCCGTATCAGTGAGGTGTAAAACGTCGAGATTTGCATATACGAGAAAGTAAAAATCGTTTTCATAAATTAATTAAGCCCATTTATCGATGCATAACGGCTATTTCATTAAGATACTTAAACTGATTTATCGATGTATAAAAGCAATTAAATAACGTTGTTAAATCCATTCACCAATGTATAAATTCCTTTCATTAAATTAGCAAAACCTATTTAATGGTGTATAAAAGACATTTGATTAAAGTGGTTAACCCCGTTCATCGATGAATGTATAAAAGCCAGTTTATCAAAGTGGTTAAAACACTATGTTTCTTACCTTATGAGTGTGCTATCACATAACATTATTTATCGTCTTTTATATAGGACGTCTACGGGCTGACATACTCGGTAAGCGAGGCCAACCTCGAAATGTTATCCATCATTTCAATTGTCGGCAGCAGTATATCCTTTTGCTGCCTGGTAATGACAGTATTTACCTACACCGTATTCAGGTAGGTTATTTAGGGTTTAAATATTAGTTTAGAATTCATGATTTATTCGATAAAATGTCTGCATTTTCTGATCGTATAGAAAAAAAAACGCAATTGTTGATGACGAATGGACAAAAAATAATAGGGTTATAGTTAGCCCTTCATCATTTTATTTACGAATGTAACAAGTAAGTTTGGTAAGATTTATCTTAATATACTAAAAATGATTATACATCTGTATACTCATTTATTTGTTGGTCTAGAGCAGGGGTCTCCAAACTACGGCCCCCGGGCCGTATGCGGCCCGCGAGGTTTTCTCATCCGGTTCGCGGAGATCTTTTTGTCCACTGAAAAAACGTTTATTGGATATGGCTGAGGAACTTTGCCCTGAAAAATCAAAACAATTTCAAAATGTTGATTTGTGGGCAAATACAATTTCCCTCCGTGTTGCAGACATTGATGCAAGCATTGTGACTCAAATAGTGAAAAATGCAAGTTCGCCATTTTTTAATTGCATTGGATAAGTCGCCGGATAGCTGTTCCACCTCTCAACTACTAGTGTTTATTAGATGTGTGGATGAAGACATGAACATAACACAAGAGTTGGCTTTTATGACATTGTTACCAGCGAGGATATATCCAATGAGTTAAACATATTTGCGGGTTATAACTTGGACTGGACTAACCTCAGTTACCTGACTGTTGTTTGAGAAAAGTACATGTGTGGCATAAAGAAAAGCAAGTGAATGAAAAAAAAAAACATCCTACAAACAACGTTCTTGCACTTATTATTCTCCGACAAAATTTTGTGTGCTAAATTTATGGACATTAGCAGTGTACTGAATCTTGTAGTGAAGATGGTGAATTTAATAAGGTCACATGAGCTCAAGCATAGATAGTTCAGAGACTTGTCGCAAGATGCAGACACAGAACCGCAACATTCACCATACTACACAGCAGTAAGATGGCGAAGCTGTGGGAAAGGAAATAGGTGACTTACTGGAAAGTAAAGGCAAGCCACAGTCATTATTGTCTGATGAAGAGTGGGTTTGGAAATTGGCCTCTGCTGCAGTCATAACTAGTCATTTTAATTTTCTGAACCTAAAATTACAAGAGAGGAAAAACTAGTTTCTGATCTATACACCCACATAAAGGCCTTTAGATCCAAACTTGTCTTGTTTTTAGAACAAGTACTGGCCAACAACTTGACGCACTTTCAGCAGTGCAAGATCTTCATGACTGAGTTCTCTACGTCATTTCCATGCGAGATCATCAAAGACCTCTAGTAGCAATTTTCTGACTTGGATTCAAAGATAAAAGAAGTGAAACCCATTTGAAGCTAATGTGGCCAGTTACCCAGATAAACTGCAGCTGGAGGTCATTGAATTGCAAGCAAATGACCTCCTTAGAGACAAGTTCATAGAATAGTGGGTAGTTTTTTTGTTTTCGCCCATGGAAGACTTTCCTAATATTAAAGTATTTGCATCAAAGTACCTTTCAAATTATGGAACAACATACCTGTGTGAACAAACATTTTCAAGAAAGCAATACGTGACGAACAATTTGAGAGCATACTTGGACCTCGAGTGTGTTGTCGGCCCCCAAATGTGTGGTTTTTTTTCAGAATTATTTTCTCCGGGGGGGGGGGGGGGGGTTGTACTTGAAGTTTGATAGTAAATGTGGCCCTCGGGCTAAAAAGTTTGAAGACCCCTGGCCTAGAAGTTAGAAAATCGACATATATGTGTAGATTTTTTAAAAGAGGCACTTAATTGTAAAAAAAAATGTCTGATTAAAATGTTTATATAAAACAAATTATATTTATAGATGGTAATACAAACCCAGAGGATTGTTCAATGTTAAATTTCACATTTAAGTTTAGATCTGGAGTAGAAAGGCTTACATTTTCATAACACTACAACCATAGACAGTGTCTATGTAGATAAGAAAGGTTAATGTATTATAAAGATTTTTCTTGTCATGCTTCTATTAGGGTTCCAACAATATTATCACTTTTTGTTAGGATACCGTTCACAGGCGTTCACAGGCTCGGACCACACCAAAACCAAGAACAAAACCAAGAAAATAAACCGGTAGTGATCTCCCCTAAACTTTCTCGAATATTCTTATGTAAATCAACAAGGGATGGGAACACGGGATATAGTTATGATTTTTAATCCATTTTAAATACTTAAGCTTTTTAAAATAGAATAGAATCTCATAAAAAAGAATTGCGCAACAAGCGAACGCCGAATACAGATGTGTATAATAGTACGGGAAATTATTAGTACTTTATAAATTCACATGCGTTTTTTGAGAAATCGGAAATAGCGTAAATCAGTACTTCTGGTCAACGGAAATTGCTCAAAATTTGACAAAAGGCAGGGAATAAAATCTTCTACTTACATGTGAAATTTCATTTATCTATCTGAAATAATACTCAAGTTATAGGTTTTTGAAAAATTCAAAGTAGAAAAAGTACCACTTCCGTTTATCGGAAATCGCTCAAAAGCTGATACGGATCTACGATTTTGATAAAATACTTATATATGAAATTTCATCAACATAGTTGTAACGGTACTCAAGTTATCATGTTTACACACACACAGACAGAAAGACAGACACACAGACATACGGACAAGATTGCAAAATTATGTTTTTCCGTATCAGTGAAGTGTAAAAATCTCGAGATTTTTTTTTTTGCACGATTACTTCGTATATACGAAAAAGGAAAAATAAGCTTAAAAATTACAAATAAATAAACGGGGTTTTAGAAAATTACTTAAAGCAACACATCAATTTGGCTATTAAATAAATTGTTATATAGCTTCTGTATATATATATATATATATATATATATATATATATATATATATATATATATATATACATATATATATATACATATATATATACATATATTGTTTATATATGATACAATACCATCCTTAAATGATAACTTTGTAAAAGTAACATTTTCAATTTAGAACTGATATATTACCTTCTTTAAAGTAGGACTTTCTTACAGTTCCATCATTAAAGTAAAACGTTGCAACAGTAACATTCATAAAGTAAAACTTTGTAACAGTGACATTCATAAAGTAGAGCTTTGTCACAGTACCGTCCTTAAAATGGAAACAGACATCTTACAACTCTTAGTTTTTGTTTTTATGATTTGATTTTGTGAGTTGATTGTTCGACTGACACATTTTTTTTCACTCTAAATTAAGTAGCGATGTTTTATCAAAAAAAATATGCTTTTTTAAAAACTAGAAATATTATACGGGATGAATGTTTTCCTTTCAGAGTAAAAGATTTAGAAAATATGGTTCCTCTAAAATGCATTATGTTTTCTCTTTCACTAGAAAATCGAAGAGACATAATCCCATTTTAATAATGTGTTTTCCCTTTTTAATAGAAAATCGAAGAGACGACATGATCCTAAAATACTCTGTTTCATCTTTCGCCAGAAACCTGAGAAGACATAGCCCCTCTAAAATAGTCTACAACTTGTGCTGGGCTCTGTTGCTTTTCAATGGCTTATTTCTATTGGGGAGATATTTTCCAACAATTCTACGGGAGGCCGTGCGCTGTAAGGTATAACTGTTACTAAAGTACTGTCTCTACTTTAATTCTCTGCAAATGGTCACCGATTTAGTCACACGTAACTAAATCCTATTTGTTTTTGAGGGGGAAGGCTCCGGTAAAAAAAAAACGTGTTGATTTAAATTGTAAGTTTTAGATAGATTTTTCTATGTAAGCAACAAAATAATACAAACAAATAAATAATAATAAAAGCAAAAAAAAATAGACTATGAGAACTGAATAAATGCTTATATTAATTAGAAATAGAATATTAAAACCGAATAAAACATTGTAGATCCTTTAACAAATGTATCAGCTGACATTTTATTACATGTCTAATGCTCGTACATGTAAATAACTTTAGTGTTACTGATTACACAACTATAACATGTTATTTACTACTCGGTGTTTACATAATGGTTAATATATGCTTATCCAATAGGCAATGGCAGCGTTGCTTCACTATTCGCTTCTTGCTTCAATGTTCTGGATGTCAGTAAACGCATTTTATATGTATATCTCGGTGGTTAAGGTGTTCAACGTCCAAATAGCCCGCTTTATCTTGAAGTGTTTTCTGTTTGCTTGGGGTAAGTGATGTTTTACAGAAGCTTTTGTAAGGTGTTTGTGATGTTTTCCAGAAGCTTTTGTAAAGTGTTTGTGATGTTTTACAGAAGCTTTTGTAAGGTGTTTGTGATGTTTTACAGAAGCTTTTGTAAGGTGTTTGTGATGTTTTACAAAAGCTTTTGTAAGGTGTTTGTGATGTTTTACAGAAGCTTTTGTAAGGTGTTTGTGATGTTTTACAGAAGCTTTTGTAAGGTGTTTGTGATGTTTTACAGAAGCTTTTGTAAGGTGTTTGTGATGCTTTACAGAAGCTTTTGTTTGGTGTATGTGAAGTGTTACATCAGATACATTATATAATAAAACAGTGAGGAGAGCGGATGACACTTAATTAACCTAAAATACAAAATGCGAAGATTGATGAGTTGACACCATCAGTTACCGCAACTGTTACTGGTTCTTGACTTAGGATTATTTGTCTTTCTGTTTTTAGGCCTGCCAGCTGTTTTAGTTGTCCTTACGCTGCTTATCAATGATACAGAGAACTACGGACGTTTATATACTAACTTGTAAGTTAGGTAGAAGTTGTTGTCTCTAAATAATGTTATATTTTAGTAGCAATAAAGATATCCCTTTAGAAATCTCAACCTTCTTATTCTTCTTCGTTCTTAATTTTAGTGTTGGAAGGGATCCCCCTCCAACACAATTAAGGATACGTATCAAATGGTTATGCGCCATTGAGGCCATTGACTCCGATTTCAGCCTGCTTTTCTTTTTGGATTTGCTTCCATAGCCTTTGTCCAACCAAGAACAAACTACAAAGCAGCAGTTGTTTGATTATGGAGTTGCATCTCAACCAATTGAGCAGATGAAGTAGAGTTGATGTTTCTTTTAACTTGAATCCGAATTCGAACTTTCGGTCAACAGTCTAGCGCTCTACCTCAAAGCCACATCGCCCTCTTCTTCGTCAACAATAAGCAAGTTTCCCTTTCAAACCTGACGGTCTATGGGGCAAGTGAAGTAGAGTTCACTTGTTTCTGTGACCTTGGCATATGAAGAGATAGTGTGGTCAGCACTATGCCCAGCCGCCTTTACTTTCCCTAACGTGAGTTAGGTACCCATCAGAGTTGGGACGGTCTACTGACTAGAACCTGGATTCGAACTCGAGACTTTCGAGTTAGCAGTCCAGCTCTCTCTACGCATAGACCACTCGTCAACCATAAACTAAGCTCCAAATTTTAAGAAACACATTTATATTTCGTTTTTTCATATAATGCCAAACTCTGGCTTTGGCTTCCAGCTGCTGGATAAGGAAGCCAGCCTTCTACGTCACGCTCGTCTCACCCGTGGCGACCTCCCTTCTGATCAACCTCGCCGTTTTTTGTTTGAGCATGATCGAGATCTCCAAGAGCAACAAAAGGCACTCGTCAATGTTGATCAACGAAAGGAAAAGGTTTGTCTCGTTATTTCTTATCACTATAACGAGTATTTTTGGAAAATCGAAATTGTAAGATGACGCACGACTACTGGGGGGGGGGGGGGGTGTAAAAGGACTATTAGTTTGTCTAGTTATTTCTCATCACTTTTTTATATCCAGGTTGGTCTATAACGAGTATTTTTGAAAAATCGAAATTGTTAGATAGTACGACTGCTGGGGGTGGGAGGGGGGTGTAGAAGGACTATTAAAAGTCAATAGACAATTTAGGCCAATACATATTTAGCATTTCCTAGAAAACTCCAAATGCCCTCTACACTCCCCAGCTATAAATTTTTAAAGTGTCTCCTCCGGGCGGAGAAAAATATCTGAAAGAAGCACCCTGCTGACATATGTCCGAAATGTTTGCACACCGTTTATATTGTAGGTCGTACCACCCCGCCATTAAATTATGTTGATAGAATGTAGTTGAAGCACCACTTATCCGAACATAGCGTACACGTTGCACGCGTTACCGCGATCTCAGAATAAACGCTGACGAAACATGTTCAGAGGATTTTATTAACGCTTTCCCAATTGTATATTTTTAGACTTAAAAATAAAATTCTAAAACTGATTTATTTTATTGTCAAGAATGTCGGCGCTATAGTTCGTGCATCATAATTAGTGCAGTCAGGTTTGTTCACACAATCCGAAACAGGTAAACCACTTATCGGCAACCGCCCGGGTGTCAGGGGTGTCGAGGGGAGTCGCCTGGCGCTCTTGGAAGGCGACTGGAGGCACTACAGTGGCCTGCTATGTAGCTATTTCAGTCTGCTCTTTGAAACAATTCTAGGCGCAATATTGCTATTAGAGAAGCCCGCAGTGTTCCTGCTTCCTTGACCGCCGAGGCTTCGAAAGACGAGTCTAGTTCCATTTTGTGTATAGTGCTTTTTAAAACGAACGTAGGCGTCATAGTGCTAATTGCAGTGGCGCCAACTAAAGCACTTAATTAAAGTTGTTCATTGAATTAACCCTGACCCCCTGTGTAGGGCGATCAATCAACGGATCCCCTGGGGCTTAGATAGTCGTTGGGGGACCATAGGCGCCCTACTATAATGTCGGGGCGACGCCCCTCAGAAATTATTTATTTTATCGAAGAACACTTCGCAGGTGAACTCTTTAAAAAAACTTCCAAGAGTTCTAGGTGATGGGATGAAATGTCAGTAATGAAAACAAGTTAATAAAAAGTATAGTGACAATTTAAGCGCAATTTCCTTAATTAATTTTTTGTGACCGAACGAAAGGATATTTTTGAAACCTTTCTTCGGCAATATTGTTCTAAATTATAGCAGGAATCGATTGGTAAATATTTCAAGTCGCTAAGTGGTCTGGTTGCCGAGATATGGGCCAAAAACTGCATTTTTTCGAGGTTTTTGGGCTTTTCCGGGAAATCCAGGAAGGAATTCCGGGAATTTTTTTTACCCACAATCATCCTCGGAACTTGCTCAACATATTTGCTTTGGAACTAGTCCTCGATATTGCTTCGTTGAGGAGCAGATACGACTTAAAGCTGCGGACACACATTCATCCAGAACGAATTAATAATCGCAATAGCTCAGTATGGAAATTGCGCTAAAAATGTGTATGTCGGTTTATTTTTTATTTTTACACCCATCATCCAACACTCTTTCTTTTCTTCTAGATAAAAAACCTCTTACGGAATTTTTCTTTCAAATACAGATTTATACACAAATATTTATGTTCAAGATAATTACTGCCATTACGGAACAGATTTTACTGTTTCAAGTAATGAATCGACTTTTGCCAGAAACATTTAGCACTTTGTAAACAAGTAAATATTTACTTTCAGCTTTATGGCTAATTTTCGAGTGGCCTTCGTCCTCCTAATACTGCTTGGGTTGACTTGGACGTTCGCCTTCTTTTCGTTCGGTGAACTCGGCACGCTATTTAGCTACCTGTTTTCCATTTTTAACTCTCTACAGGTAAGAATGCAAAGATTAGGACCAGTGTAGGGATAAAAGCATAGGCAGGACCATAATTATGTCTGTTAAAACTTCATTTTTTAAAGATTCATAGCAAGGAATTACTAGTTTTCTTTTCTGAATTCAACAAAGTGAAACATTACAAATTTCTAGTGCCTGACTGTTGTTACGAACTTGATGGTTGCAAATCGTATGCTTAACTCTTTAATTGTCCCTCTTAGGTTTACAAAATTACAATCTGGACTATCCTAGTTAAGCTTAAATTTTGAATGTCAAGCGATCTCTATCAGTCAACAGTGTTTATTCCAGGCATCTCTTCGAAGAAAGTCTACCGCTCACCGAACGAAATGGAGTTTATATAGAAAATATTATCCGCTCCCCCCCCCCGGACATTTTAGTCCGCCCACCCACAAAATTGTCAAGCCCCCCCCCCCCCCCCCCCTTCCTGAGGAAAAAAGTCTGGAAGAAACACTGTCAGTTAAGGGTCTCAAAACTGATCTAGTTAACAATTTAAACATTTTGTTTTTGAGTTGTTCTAGAAAAAATTGTAGCTTTTACTGTATGTAGATCTATTATTCCACCGTATATTTGTCTTCATCTTGAATATTTCATGTATTATTTTAATTTTTATTTATTTTCACCGCGTACTGCTTGTATTAATCTAGGGTGTATAAATCTTCAATCATCATACTATGCTGGAATTTGCTTTAAGTTATGTTTACCTTTATTATGTACTGTTTGTATTATTGCAGGGCATGTTTATCTGGTAATGCTTTAATATTTGTTTATCTTTACTTTGTACTTGTTGTATTTTCCAGGGCATGTTTATCCGGTAATGCTTTAATATTTGTTTATCTTTACTATGTACTGCTTGTATTACTCCAGGACATGTTTATCTGGTAATGCTTTAATATTTGTTTATCTTTACTATGTACTGCTTGTATTACTCCAGGACATGTTTATCTGGTAATGCTTTAATATTTGTTTATCTTTACTATGTACTGCTTGTATTACTCCAGGGCATGTTTATCCGGTAATGCTTTAATAACTATTTATCTTTACTTTGTACTGCTTGTATTACTCCAGGACATGTTTATCCGGTAATGCTTTAATATTTGTTTATCTTTTCTATGTACTGCTTGTATTTCCAGGGCATGTTTATCCGGTAATGCTTTAATAACTATTTATCTTTACTATGTACTGTGTGTATTACCACAGGGGATGTTTATATTCACGTTTTACTGTCTGCTGAAGCGGGAGGTACACAATGCTTGGCTGGTGTTATGTGGCTGTCAGATTGAAGATATCGTCATTACTAGCAGTAAGATTATAATTAACGGTCTCATTTCGACTTTTTTTTTTAAAGTTTTTTTTTTGTATTTACGACTAAAAGGAAGCTCAGATTTTTGGATACCTACAAATCAACAGAGGTTTAAACTAAATATGTTAAAATACAGACACTAGTGTTTAGCAATGTCGAATGTAAAACTGATGCTATAAATATTTTTTTCTGAGGCATTGCATGAAAAAAACAACGAATGGGTTACATGATTGTTGTGTAGCGTGCTACTATTTGATGACGATAGTTTAGAGGCGCAGCGACCCTTCCCGGCGCCCGGGGACAAACTTTCGATTTGCACCCCCCCCCATCTTCAAACTTTCGATTTGCACCCCCCACCCTCAGACTTTCCATTTGCAACCCCCCCCCCTCTTAAACTTTCAATTTGCACCCCACTTCAAGCTATCAATTTATTTTTCAAACCCATTTTGGCGCCCCCTAAGTTCGGCGCCCGGGGACAAATGTCCCCCCCCCGCCCCCCCCCCCCTCCTCGCTACGCCTTTGCGATAGTTTCGAAAGAGTGAAGATTTGATAGTATTTCTGAGTCCAATGGTTGACATGTAGCTTGAATATTTAATTGATTTGAGTCTTGCTGGGTAACCATCATGTGACTGTCTTAGATGCAGATTTAGGTGCAGATGTGATAGTAGATGGCATCTTAGCAAAAACCAGTGGCGTAGCGAGGTCGGGTGTCACCCGGTGCGGCACTTAATGGTGTCACCCCCCCCCCCCCCACAGAGAAGTAGTGACACTTTGTGGGGACAAACTTTCAAATTAAGATTTGCACCCCCCCCCCCCCACCTCAAACTTTCGATTTGCAACCCTCCCCTCAAACTTTCGATTTGCACCTCTTAAAACACTATTTATCATTTTTTTCTATGTATTTTGCTATTTTTCGCTTTGGTGTCACCGCTTAAATGGTGTCACCCGGTGCGGTCCGCCCCCCCCCCCCCTCCTCGCTACGCCTCTGGCAAAAATTATTGGGAAAAATATATGTGAAAACATATTGGCATTTTAAAACTTGATAAATATTGCAATTACCGCTATTTATTTATATTTTTGAAATTAATGTCTCTTTTTATATACATAGGAAGAGCGTGGTTGAATGTTAGAGCTTACGACTGCTAACACAAAAAGCTCGAGTTCGGATCAAATTTGTTGGGTACTTGACTCACGTTAGGGAGACTAAGACGGGTATAGTCCTGATCACATTATCGCCCGAGGTTGCTAAACTGATACATATATAATGATAGATTTGGTAGAATGACAATTCTATTCCATTCTATAGCCTCAAAAAAAAACCGCAAATGTAGAATCTCATATAACAAGTTTTCTCCAATCCTCGATGATTTAGCTTGTGTCTGTTTCAAAATGGTATATCCGGATTACTTTATTTTGTGCTCAAAAAATCTTTTTTTTTTCGCCTTTTTTTTCGCGTAGCGAAGTGGGGTGGGGGGTGCGGTACGCACCGGGTGACACCATTTAGGGGGGTGACACCAAGGCAAAAAATAGCAAAATATATACTGAAAAATGATAATTCCACTTATTTAAGTGATTAATTCGAGTGTTAAATAGTCTTTTAAGAGGTGCACTTCGAAAGTTTGAGGGGGGGGGGGGGTGCAAATCCAAAAATGGAAAGTTTGTCCCAGGAAAGGGTCGCTACGCCTCTGAGTGGGAGGTGGGGGGTGACACCATTAAGTGCCGACCTCGCTACGCCATGAACGCACTTCTTGCGTTATTGCTTTTGATCCGTCCATGTTTATTAACATCAGAGTATTCTGTTGTAGTAGGTCTTTGTTTTATTCGCCCCAAGAATTCTTTATATGTAAATCGTAAATCTCTTAAGCCGGTAATTAATTGCTATTCCTCATAGAAATTTATCAATAGAAGCCTATACTTCCTCTAAAATCGAACACCGTTTCCTCAATGACGCCTTACTGCTGGTACTTGTATGAATTCAACGTCTAATAGACCGTTATGTGATCATGACTTGGAACCCCAAGCCAGTGGCGTAGCGAAGGTCGGGTGTCACCCGGTGCGGCACTTAATGGTGTCACCTCCCAGAGGCGTAGCGACCCTTCCCGGGGACAAACTTTCAAATTTTCGATATGCACCCCCCCTTAAGTTTTTCTCTATATATTTTGCTATTTTTTGCCTTGGTGTCACCACCTAAATGGTGTCACCCGGTGCGGTCCACATCCCCCCCCCTTTGCTACGCCTCTGCCCCAAGCACAAAGCCTGGACTATGAGATGGGAAGTGCCATTATGTTTTCCCCTGTATTGAACTTACGACTTTTCGAGTTAGCAGTCATGCGCTTTATCATCAGACCACAACGAACTCCTATCGAGTTGACAGCAACAATATGTGAATCATTTGTATTAATTAAGATCATTTTTATTAATAAAAATCATATGTATTAATTACAATCATTTGTATTAATTAAAAGCAATAACGTGTATATTTTTAAAAAATTGTGATTTTCTCAGAGTACAGTGAATCAAGGGTATCTAGATCCAGTTTGAGCAAACAGTCTAAATACTACGAATTTAAATTTACCACGTCGAAGGACAGCGGATCATCCTCTGCTCAGGAAGGTTAGCTTAGTCTAATACAATTCTATTGCTTCAACGGTTTGAATGGTAGAATGCTAGGGTTTATTTCAAACGAGCCGACCCGCGGTGTATCATACGTCGCTATTTAGTTGTTGTTTTTTCTACGTTTCAGTAATTCATAATGACAGTACCAATGCTGTCACTGAAAATATTTGCTTTAAAATACTAAATCCCCCTTCCCCCCCCCCCCCACCCCGTGAAAGCAGCCGCTCCTTAGTTACCTCCTCTAAGTTTAAAATCGTTTCAAACTAAATTATCTGCCTCTAATAGCCGTCACCAAACTCGGCTCTACGATTGTAAAACGTAAACATTTAGTGTGAAACTCAGCTCACCAGACCATGTGAGGGGGGGGGGGGGGGGGGTAGCGATAGAGAAAAAGAGAGGGGACTGTAAGGCGCGTTTGCAGCTTGTTTTCTAACGTCTCCCAGAAGAAAATTATATATGTAGATGTTTTTTTTTATTCTCCGGATGAGTAAGATCACTTAAAACTTACATGTAGATGGGGAAGGGGTTAAATGGTTGAAGTATGTTTTCTTTTTGAGCTTTGAATTTGTTCTATTTTGATCAAGAGCGGAACGTGCTTCTACGAGTGGGGCAATATCCCAGAGATGCCTGAAAGAAACTCTGATCAGTGCGATACTGTTTATATTTAAACGCACAAAATAAACTTCTTCTGCGGGACATCCTTATTGCATACAATAGAATGTGTTTTAGTTATAACCTAGCCACTATAACAATATCACTTAGTAATAAAACAGATAGTGTTAGTTACCTCACAAATTAAGACAGTTACAAGACAACTGTGGACGTTTCGACCCAAGGTCTTCGTCAGCACACAACAGTGTGGTTACAGTTTAGACAAATAAAGACAAACAGTAACACATTTTTTGACTTAGCTCGACAGTGAAAACACGTCTTGTCTGCTAGCCACGCTATCCTAAAGAAAAGACGCGTGAGAAGGACGCTTGGACACCGTATAGGGGTGGGGTTGGGGGTTGGTTAGGTGAAAGATATCTGTTCATTCAAACCAGCGGGTGCACGTGACAATATCACTGGTCACGATATAACTATAACACAAACCCCAAAATTTATAACCAGGCGCATCCGATTTTCGGTAACTAAATCTAGTACTTAATCTACTTCCGGTTTCTCAAAACCCGTTACCTTGTACCGTTTATGTTAGGTGGGCGAAATTTCTTATAGAAACAGTTTCTTTATAAAGTAATAACGGCGGCCACCGAGTTAACGAGAATCCTGCTATCATATTGTTGACATGAATAAAATTCGTTCTTTTTAAAATATTTTGACCTCTTAGAAGCTGTAAAAATAATTTAAAAAAATAAAATATTTGTGCTTAATTACTGAAAATGCTAAACGTCAAATACATCACCTCTTTTTTAAAGTCCGAAAAAAATAACCAAACAGACAGGATTTTTATAACCATATTAAATTTAGGGGTCATCCATAAATGACGTCACGCTTTTTTTGACGATTTTTACCTACCCCCTCCCCTCCGTCACACGTCGTCACAAAAAGCCAGACCCCACCCCTAAAATGACGTCACACCTCAACCTACAACCCCCCTCAAAATTGCAGTTGAATTTTTTTTAAACATCGATATTTTTCTAAAATCTTGTCTAAACTATTACAATTTATTAAAACAGTTATCTAAAATGCGAAATAACGTCTAAAATTCGTTTTCTAACATTGCTTTTTTGTAATACAAAACTGTGACTTCGTAACATCTGAACCCACCCCCCCCCCCCTCCCCCTCATCACACATCGTCACAAAATTACGGACCCCCCTCCCCCCTACGAGTTTGACGTCATTTATGGATGACCCCTTAGTTGGACCGCGCATGATTAAAAAAAATACTTAATGGGCGTCTTGAATACCTTTGAGACTATTTTCGCTTGGGTCCGTTCTCCGCTCTATTATACACACGAGCTGACCCGCTGCGTATCATACGCCGCTATTTAGTTTTTTTTTCTACTTTTCAGTAATTTATAATTTGTGAATTCGACAGTACCAATGCTGCCATTGAAAATATTTGCTTAAAAACAATAACCACCCCCCCCCCCCCCCCCACCTGAAAGCAGCCTCCTCTTAGTTACCTCCTCTAAGTTTAAAATAGTTTCAAACTAAATTATCTGCCCCTAATAGCCGTCACCAAACCCGTCTCTATGATTGTAAAATGTAAACAGAGTGAACACCGCTCACCAGATCATGTGGGGGTGGGGTGGGGGTGGTAGTGATAGTGATAGAGAGGAAGAGAGGGGACTGCAAAGGCGCGCTTGCAGCTTGTTTTCTAACTGATCCCAGAAGAGAATTATATATATAGATTGTTTGCGTTCATTGGGTGAACCATTTAGCAGTTTAATATACATTTCCTATAGCTCGATTGCACTGGAAGAGACATCCTTTTTACTGTTAAAATAGAATATTTAAGAAAGTTTAAAGGAGATTTATCCCTCTTCATTTGTTGTGTAGACAAGCAAAAAAAAAACACCATTTAGTTGGATTTGATAGTTAACTTTAGCCTGTTGACTTGTGGATCTTCCGCTACTAATTTACAGTTTACTTGTTTTTCAGAAACATGTGGAACACTCATCAACTAAACGTAGTGGAACGACGACATTCTATCACCATAGATATATAGGCTTTCATTGAAATCTAGAGCTCAAATACAGTATAGTTACAAAAATCTCATTCAATGTAGTGACTTCAATTTTAGTCATGTTTAAAATGTGTTTTTTAAATTACTTCAATAAAAGTTTTAAAATCATTAAAAAAAAACAGTTTTCAAAATTGTTGGCGTTTGTCATTTACTCTCCCTTACTGTCTTTATTTACTTTCCCTTAATATATATATATATATATATATATATATATATATATATATATATATATATATATATATATATATATATATATATATATATATATATATATATGTACACATAAGGCAGTATGGAGGTATGTATGTTGAGTCTATGTGTGTCTGTCCTTTATGACAAAAACTGCACCTTTCATCGTATCGCAATGAAAATTTGGGAAGTTTATAAAACAATACTTATGGGAAGATGTAGGGCAACACGAAATATATCAGTTCAGCTCCAGGATTCAAGTCCCACCCACCAAGCGACAGTGCACACAAGTCATCACTATACATTTATATATCAAGGTCACTGATACGTATATTAAACATATATCACCTCCACTATTGACCGTTTATCTATTTCTACCATCTAATATATTAAAACTGATTATTTAAATAATACTTGTATGCTTCCTTATTAAAAGGATCTTGAATGTTATTTTTTTCTCTATTCGTTCACTTGCTAAAATGTTGCAATGAACTCCATATGAAAAAGGAAGTCAGGCGTTCTAAAACAAATTGATACCGTAATTAGAGTCTAAGACTAAATGAAGCTTACATTAAAAAAAATAGTTAAGGAAAATGCTTTTACTATGTTAACAAATCACACATAAATTACATATGGAAAAGACTAAAATAGAGATTCGTGTAGCCTTTACCCCTCTGCCCCCCCTACCTGGGCAAATTTATTGTTAAAACAGCGAATTTTTTTGGAACATATTTACTTGATCAATTAACATTTAATGTATTAATTTTTTGCTTATAAAAACACTGTTAAAAACAAGAAATAAAGCTTCAATACCGTTTTTAACATAATTGTTTGGATGAAAAAAGCGTGTCACCTTAATTTAAAAAAAACCTTAATTTAAAAAAAAAACCTCCACCCACCACCCCGCCCCTCATACACATACTCCAGAGTTTTGACATTTCGCTATTATCTATAACATATTCATTAATCCGTCATACAAATACAGTCGTATTTTTTTTTAATGAGACCTATATCGATACTGATGAAAAAAATATGTTATCACAACTAAAAGTTTTCCCCTAACCGCACTGGCTATAGTTGCTTTCCTTAATTATATAGAACGAGCCGACCCGCGGCGTATCATACGCCGCTATTTAGTTGTTTTATTTTCTACTTTTCAGAAATTCTTAATTTGTGAATTCGACAGTACCAATGCTGCCAATTTGCTTTAAAACACTATCAGTAGCTCGTTAAGGACGATAACACCCCCCCCCCTCCTTTCCCCAACCCCTCCCCCACCCCCCCGTGAAAGCAGCCTCCTCTTAGTTACCTCCTTTCCCCTACCCCCTACCCCCCCCCCCTCCGTGAAAGCAGCCTTCTCTTAGTTACCTCCTTTAAGTTTAGAATCGTTTCAAACTAAATTATCTGCCCCTAATAGCCGTCACTAAACCCGACTCCACGAAGGTAAACAGCGTGAACCACAGCTCATCAGACCGTGTAGGGGTGGGGTGGTAGGCAGCGCATTTACAGCTTGTTTTCTAGGGTCTCCAAGAAGAGAATTATATATATAGATTTATCAAATTAGCAACAACGTCTGTTTATTTTGTATATATTAAAATGTATCAACTATAACAAAATGTCCATTAACTTTCTCCTATTGTATAAATTGTAATTTTCTAAATCTTCAAGTATTTTAAAGCACCATTGAAACTCTTTTTATGTGTAAGCACTTACATTGTATTGCACCATTTACGACGAAAGTTGTGCAGACTTTGAACGGAAGTAGATCTATATTTGTGTATAGTATTTTTCATTGTTTCATAATCAAGCTAGATCTAGATCTAGATCTATTTTGTTTTAGTTAGCGCTATACATTTAATGAAATGTATTTATTATTGAATTTGGACACCTGATAAAATGTGTACGATAGTAAAGATTACTTCATCATATTAGTATTCCGATCTACAGGTAAAGAATAAATGGAATACAGCTGTAGCTATTGGTTTGAATTCACTGAATTAGATGTTGGTTTTAAAAATGTTACCGAAATACATTAAATATGACAAATTATTGTAATAATTAGCTTTGTGAACCTTTAATCGCAGCAAGTTTTGCTATATAAACAGCGGCCATTTGTGAATTAAAGCGGTTTCCCCTGAATTTCCAAGTATAATTTACCAACAAAACAACCAAAAACAATAACTTAAAAACCGTTTTAATAACAATGTTTCAATAAATATGCTCTAAAAAGAAGAAAAAATATGATTGTCTTTATATATTTCTTTATGTCCTTCTATTTATATAACTATACATAATATATTTTTAGAAAAAGACCCTCGCTTTTCTTTCTAATATACTTTAGCGCTATTTCTGCGATATCATCTGGTCGAGTCGGTAAAGCTCATGGTTGCTAAACCGAAAAGTCTCGAGTTCGAACCCTCGGGCAGATGAGGCTCGTTAGTTGAGGACAGCCACTCTTCTAGGAGAGACAACTCCAAAATCAAACAACTGCCGCCTGGTAGTTTTTTCTTGGTTGGACAAAGGCTATGGAAGCAAATCCAAAAAGAGTTAATGGCCTTAATTGTGATGGAGGCGAGGGTCGAGCCGGCAAAAGTTCATGGTTAATATATTCGAAAAAGTCTCGAACGAAGAAAAAGAAGAAGAAGAATCTGGATTCATTATTATGACGTTTCCCTCAATCCCTCTTAACTGTCTATCATTGGACCTGGTGTTAGGTCAGTCGAAAGACTCCAATAATCTGCTGGTAGTGGTTGTTAATTTTCAGCATTGATCAGATCTTTGTGAATCTGTCTGAAGCATAAATATGTCAGTGAGATGGTTACCATATTATTATAACTTTGAATAGGATACCTTTCATATATGACTTTCATGGCATTTATATATTTTTTCCTCTGGAAACTTCATGCCATAGTAAGATTTTCCAGATATTGTTTATGTCTAGGCCATAAAAAGCCTTTTCAAAATAAACCAATAATTCATTGAGGGGGTTATTCCATTCAGAGTTTTGCTCTAGTATTTATGTTCAATTATGGGACGGAGTAGTCTAGCGGTAGAGAGCTTGACTGCTAACTCGAAAGTCTCGAGTTCGAATCCGGGTTCAAGTCAGTAGACCGTCTCTGAGTCCACCCAACTCTGATGGTACCTAACTCACGTTAGGGAAAGTAAAGGCGGCTGGGCATAGTGCTGACCACACTATCTCTTCTTATGCCTAGGTCACAGAAACAGGTGAACTCTACTTCACTAGCCCCAAAGACCGTCAGGTTTGAAAGGGAAACTTTATTTTTTAAATGTATGTTCAATGCAACGTGGGCTATAATTACATGAAAAAAAATTACAAACGTTTTTCGCGTAAAAGCTGAAAATTAATTATGTTTTCAATTTTCTCTTGACAGACTGAAAGTTTTTAAATATCTTTAGATCCTCATGCTGTATGTCAAAACACGACTTGGTCAAACTTAACCATCGTCATCGATTTAAAGACTAGATTTCAAGATTAAATGTGGCTAGCAATCTTCAAATCAGGCATCCTTGTATAATGATATAAACTGATGCAGTTTGTAACTTCACAGAAGGCATCATGGTATAATGATATAAACGAATGCGGCATGCAATTTCGACAGTAGGCATCATGGTATAATGATATAAGCTAATGCAGCTAGCAATTTTGACAGCAGACATCATGGTATAATGACATAAGCTAATGCAGCTAGAAATTTTGACAGCAGGCACCATGGTATAATGAAATAAACAAATGCGGCTAGCAATCTTGATTTAAAGACATTGTTACAAACAGAACACAATAATTCGAAACTGGGATGACACTCTCTGCTACATGACTCCACTGACGTACATTAAACGCCTAGTTCAGGTGTTACTCGTTATGATCTCAGTTGAGCCGATTCTCGTCGTGAGCCAGTTGAGCTTTACCTGCAACTCTGCAACTGATCCCGGCAGCTGTTTGTGCACGGAGAAGGTAATCTACTGCCAGAGCCGGAATCCGCTGTTGGAGAGTGTACCGCTGAACCTCCGAACTAAAGCTGAGACCATGTGAGTATGGTGGTGATGGCGTCAGGGTGAGGTGTGAGTATGGTGGTGATGGCGTCAGGGTGAGGTGTGAGTATGGTGGTGATGGCGTCAGGGAGGGGTGTGAGTATGGTGGTGATGGTGTCAGGGAGGGGTGTAAGTATGGTGGTGATGACGTTAGATTGAGAGTATGGTGGTGATGGCGTCAGGGAGGGGTGTAAGTATGGTGGTGACGGCGTTATGGGAAGGGTGTGAGTATGGTGGTGATGGCGTTATGGGAAGGGTGTGAGTATGGTGGTGATGGCGTTATGGGAAGGGTGTGAGTATGGTGGTGATGGTGTCAGGGAGGGATGTGAGTATAGTGGTGATGACGTTAGATTGAGAGTATGGTGGTGATGGCGTCAGAGAGGGGTGTGAGTATGGTGGTGATGGTGTCAGGGAGGGATGTGAGTATGGTGGTGATGACGTTAGATTGAGAGTATGGTGGTGATGGCGTCAGAGAGGGGTGTGAGTATGGTGGTGATGACGTTAGATTGAGAGTATGGTGGTGATGGCGTCAGAGAGGGGTGTGAGTATGGTGGTGATGGCGTTATGGGAGGGGTGTGAGTATGGTGGTGATGACGTCATGGAGCTGGTAACAGTGGAATGTTTTACCTCAAGGTTGGTCCCATTTATATATTCAACTTCTACCTATTTTTTAAAAAATAAAACCATTTATAAAGAGGGATTCTTTTAAATATAATAATACAGTGAGGGAGATACATGAAACTTAAGGGGAAAGAGGACTTGACTTACATGACTTAAACCTTTGTAGCACCTGTTGAGCAAAGGGCTGCTTCTCACACTTCTCCACCGGACTCGGGTTTGGTAAAAGTAAGATCCATTTTCAAACCTGACGGTCTATAGGGCAAATGAAGTAGAGTTCACTTGTTTCTCTGACCTCGGCATATGAAGAGATAGTGTGGTCAGCACTATGCCCAGCCGTCTTTACTTTCCCTAACGTGAGTTAGGTACCCATCAGATTTGGGTGGACTCAGGGACGGTCTACTGACTTGAACCCGGATTTGAACTCGAGAGTTACGGGTTTGCGGTCCAGCTCCCTACCACTAGACCACTCCGTCCCACGGACTCGGGTTTTGGCTGCTCTCTTTATCAGTGCCCTCGTAAGCCCAGCGGTCTTTGCCTCTTCCTCTACCGTTCTTCTCCGCTATCTCTTTGGCCGACCCACTTTGATTCTTCCCTGGGGATTCCAGTTGTGTTTGCGAGATGATCTTCTTCCCTTCTCATGGCCTGTCCAGTCTATCCCCATTTACAAGCTTTGGTGTCCATATCTATTGGCTGTTGCTTTCTAATTGACCATATAACTTTATTTAATAGAGGAGAGGGGGAGGTTGGGGGGCGCTACCAATTTTTTAAAGTGGGAGGGGGGATTTGAATGTGAGCTTTATATAAATTATATATATTTCTGTTTTGCTCGAGGGGGGGGGGGGAGATACGTAGAAGAAAAAAAGAACTATGTATAATTGATTGTGTTCAAATAAGTTAATTGGTTTAATGGTAGAGCGTTCGACTGCTAACCCTAATTTCTTAAGTTCTGAACCCAGACACTAGGAGTTATATCTATATAATTATTAATGTACTATTCAACTTAGAGGTCTAATACAGTACACCTGTTTCCATTACCTCGGCATTTGAATAGATGGTGTGTTCAGTCAGTCAGGTACCCATAAAAGCTGAATGGACCCAGGGGCGTCGTAAGGCCTTAAACCCGGAACTGAAGTCGAGTTCAATCGGGTTAGCATTCGAAAGCTCAACCAAGTGAACCCACCGTCCCAAATAGTATAAAGGGAAAACGGGTACTAGAACACAGTGGCGTAGCGAGGTCGGGTGTCACCCGGTGCGGCACTTAATGGTGTCACCCCCCCAGAGGCATAGAGACCCTTCCCAGGGACAAACTTTCAAATTTTCGATTTGCACCCCCCCCCCCCCTCAAACTTTCGATTTGCACCCCCCCCTCAAGTTTTCGATTTGCACCCCCCCTCAAACTTTCGATTTGCACCCCCCCCTCGAGTTTTTTCTCTATATATTTTGCTATTTTTCGCCTTGGTGTCACCCCCCTAAATGGTGTCACCCGGTGCGGTCCGCACCCCCCGCCCCCCCCCCTCGCTACGCCCCTGCTAGAACACATAACTGTTTGTGTTTCTTCTACAGAAATTTATCCAATAACGAAATTAAACGGATACAAGAGAACGATTTTAGGAACGTCGATAAAACAGAGAATATGTAAGTAGGTAAAACAAGGGTACGGTGTTAAATTAGAATCCGAAAATTTAGGGAAGGTTTCTCGTTTAGAATAGCAAGTATATATATATATATATATATATATATATATATATATATATATATATATATATATATATATATATATATAGATAGATAGATATAGATATAGATATATATATATATATATATATAGATATATATATATATATAGATATATATATAAATATATATAAGTGTTTCATGTTTGATTTTTCAGAATCCTCTCTCACAATGAAATTTCCAGTATCCACAAGAACGCCTTTCTAAGTTTAACATCGCTGCGAAAATTGTAATTTATATTTCTTTTTCTTTTTTTTAATTCCCTGACTTCTACACTATTGAAATTTAAAAAAACCGTTAAAAGTGTTCAGAACTTTACGTTTTTCAATATGCATATTTTACAACTAAAGATTATCTACACACACACACACACACACACACGCACGCACGCACGCACGCACGCACGCGCACACACACACACACACACACGCACGCACGCACGCACACTCTGCTGCCGCTAATATGAATATCCTCGACATTTCGTATACCAATAGCCCTGTTACATTAATTTTCCAGAAAGTTCTAGTGTACTGCTAGTAACAATGACCCCGTTTCATGTGATTTAAAGAAAACATTTAGTATATTGGAAATGTTAATAAATTTATATTTTAAGCGTGTCAGTTTAAAATAAATTTTCAGGCTCTTGGATGGGAATAACCTAATGTCGTTTACTTCGGATACATTGAATATACGGAACTTATTCTCGCTACAAACTTTGTAAGTAGTTACAATTATTATTTGTAGTATGTAGGGCCTACTTAAAATAAACACGGGTATGCCTTTATTGAGGAATAAACATAAGTAGGCTATCTAAGTAGAATAAGTAGTCGGGCTGTAAGTAGGAAATCAAATTCAAATATCAAGTTGAAAAAATGATAATATTTAAAAAGTAAGGAAGAATTTCAATGTAATCGGGATCAATATGCTTGGAATGAAATGGATTATGGTTTAGAGGTAGGTATAAAAGCTGGATAGTGGTGTTGAAAGTGGGGGGTGGGGGGGATTTTAATGTTTTATTAGAGATTAAATGTTATGAATAAGAGGTGAGAGTGAGGACTGGGTTTGGGGGGTGGGGGGGGGGGGGGGGAAATTGGGCGTTGCGTTTTGTGGATTTAGGTTGGATTGTAGGTTTTAGTGTAGATGTTAAAAGACGAACATGTGTGTTTGGAGGTTAGCGTGGAAAAAAAGGGGGGTGCATGGGTTGATGGGGTTTTAATTAGGGATATGGGATAGTGGTAGACCAACTTTGACAAGCTAATGACGTTGATGGTTGGTATACTTCCGTGGTTGGAATACAATATTGAAAATCTCGAAAATTTAGCTTACCGAAAACTCAAATATTACAAATAGTAATGTTTTTGTTTTTAAAATTTATTTTAATTTTAAATGATTGAAAATATTATTGCCAGCATATGCTTATTCGAAATTACTATTGACATAAAAATTAATTGAAGCTTAATATTTAAATTATATTAATGGGCGCAGGTGTCATAAAATTTTTGAAATTGAATTTTTAATCCAATTATCTAAATCTCTTATGATTTTTAATTTATAAAAAAGTTAATGGTTACTTACATTATTTTTTTCCTTTACCTTTCAACTCACACACACTATTAGCTAAAAAATTCCATTATTTTAAAATCAGGAATTTAAGCAGAAATCCAATCGGACATATCGATGCTAGATCTCTACTGAACATCGCTAATTTTCAAGTCGTAACGTAAGTTGTAGCTGATATTATTCTTGCAAAGAATAATTTTATCTTAATTAAGCCCGCCCTATTTTTAGTGGAGCTGTTAACATTTAGCAATGCTCTCTATGGGGTCGTCCATAAATGACGTCACACTCGTAGGGGGAATGGGGGTGGGGGGGGTCCGTAATTTTGTGACGGTGTGTGATGAAGTGGGGGGGGGGGGTTCAAATGGTGCGACGTCACACTTTTGGAATTTAAAAAACCAATGTTAGAAAACGAATTTTTTACGTTTTTTTCGCGTTTTAGAAAACTGTATTAATAAATTGTAACAGGAATTGATTAAAATACTCTCTTTTGACAGAGTTTAGACAAGATTTTGGAAAAATGTTAAAAAATTCAACTGCAATTTTGAGGGGGGGGGGGGGGTGTAGGCTGAGGTGTGACGTAATTTTAGTGGGGGGGGGGGGGGTCTGGCTTTTTGTGTCGATGTGTGACGGAGAGGAGGGAGGTAAAAATCGTCAAAAAAGCGTGACGTCATTTATTTATGACCCCCCTTATGTGTTGTTGAGATCTTCATACGGAAAAATGGTGGGGGGGGGGGGAGGTGTGGCCGATAGGGATAAATGGTGGGGGAGGTTTGGCTTAAAAGTCGATATTCGTGGACATGTAAATTAGTGTTACATTGTATAATTAATTTCGAACGTGTTCTTTTTTTTGTTCAGAGTTATCGACTCACAAAGTTTCCTCTGCACGTGCCCGTTGCTACAGATAAGGAGTGAACTCATGGCCATGTTTTCCAGATTAGCGGTTGAGACAGCCCTGAGCGATATCTACTGCAATAAGGGTACCGATATGTCGTCGCTCTTTACTTTACGTATGGAGGATGCTAAATTTCTTCAGTGCATTGGTAAACTTTTAAAATGTTCATCATTTTTTCATGGAATATATAAAATTGTCTTTAACTGTTTCTATGAACTCTGTTTAACGGGAGGAGGGGGGGGGTAGTGCGGTCAACACTTTGCTCAGCCGCCTTCGTTTCCTAAACCTTAGTAATCATAGCTATATGGACTTAATGACGTACATGCTCAACCCCGTGTTCTGAACTCGTTACGTGCGCTAAATCAAATAGTGGTCTAAGTTGTGAATGGCGTATAGTTAAACCTCAACACTATCGTTTGTTTAAACATCAGCAGAGCCAAAGGTTACAGTTGGGGATATAGTTAAATGTCAACACTAGCAAATGGTATAGTTGGGTATAATTAAACCTCCACATTGCCATCTGTTATAGTTATACCTCAACACTACCATATGTTGTAGTTGTATATAGTTCAACCCCACACAATCATGTATTGTAGTTGGTGATAGTTAACCTTCAACACGAACAGATGTTGAATTTGGCTATACTTAACACTCAACACAACCATATTTTAGTGTTGGGTATAGTTAAACCTCAACAGGTCCATATGTTATATTTGGATATAGTTAAACCTCAACAGATACATATGCTATATTTGGATATAGTTAAACATCAACACTTACATATGTTTTATTTGGATATAGTTAAACCTCAACAGTTCCATATGTTATATTTGGATATAGTTAAACCTCAACAGTTCCATATGTTATATTTGGATATATTTAAACCTCAACCGTTACATCTTATATCTGGATATAGTTAAACCTCAACAGTTACATATGTTATATTTGTGTATAATTAAAAACATATTATTTTTGTTTATAAATAAAATCATGTTATATGCGTGTACAGTTAAACCTCAACAGCGCCAAATGTTGAAGTTAGGTGTAGTTAAACATTAACATTGCCATATGTTATAGTTATACCTCACTACTACATATTGCAGTTGTATATAGTGAAACCATAACACTGCCCTATGTTGAAAATGGGTACAGTTAAACCATAACACTGTCATATGTTGTTTTCTCACCCACAGGCACACCCACTGTGTACGCCCCAGCAATGTCGTGCCCATGGTGTAACGGAGTCAACTCACTTGTATGGTGTAAAATGAATATCACGTGTGTCGGTGAAGCCGTGAGTCGAAATATCTAAGTTTTAGTTTAGTATGTGTGAGTTAAGTAGTTGAGTGTAGTGCCCCCCAACCCCCCGAAGAGATGTCTCGAAGAAACTGAATATAACTAAGAATATTTTTTCAAACAGGCATGCTTACACCGAAGATTCCGTTCCTAACGAAAGTATTTTACTAGTATAAATAAAGTAATTTGAAGTTGGCTGTTTAAGTAATGTTTCATTAAGTGACACATTGTTGTTCTTTTTTTTCTCTTCATGCAGGCTTTCTGTGAGTCTACATACCTTTTTAACAATGCAGGCAATTTTATTTCATCCCACTGTCAAAAAAGAACAGTCTGCCTAGATGAGGAGAGGAACAACCGAAAGAGTTGCATCTTCAACGGCACCACACAAATCAGATGTACCTACTGCAGTTATGGGGAGGTCGATGAGCCGATTATTGATGGAGGTAATTAAGTCCTTAGTAGTCGTGTGAACGGAGAGGTGGGATTGTAGCGCTCGTGACTTCTAACGCTCAAGTCTCCAGTTCAGATCTCGAGCTCAAGAAAGGGAAACGAAAAAGTCCGTGTAGAGAACTGACCACAGTTTCCCCCATGCCGACGTGATTGAAACAGATGAACTCTACTTCATCTGATTTATTAGTGACGGACACAAACAAGTTAAAATATTATGCTGAAATAAGATAAAATTAAATTTTAACAAAACAATATAGCGTTTTGAGTAAGGTTTTTAAAAAACTGCATAGAAGCCTGATAGCGTACAACTAGTAAAATAGATGGCTTTTTCCGGTACTAATTGCTATCGTATTTTAAATTAAAACAAGTAAAATAGCTTGCTTTTCCTACCACTAATTGCTATCTTATTCGTACAGGTTTATTTACAGAGCACCATTTTTTCCTGAGTTTCATTAAGGAACGGGCGCACTCCGAAGAATATTCTGACAATGATCGTATAGCAAGTTCTGTAAGCTACTACTATTATTAGCCTACAGCATACACACAAACACACACACGCACGCACGCACGCACGCACGCACGAACACACACACACACACATATATATATATATATATATATATATATATATATATATATATATATATATATATATATATATATATATATACATATAATAGATAGATAGATATAAGCTAAGATAAAGACTTTTTTTAAAATAAAGTCATTTCCTTTTAATTCCGTTTAACTATATTTTAATTTTCTTTATAGTATTATCATTAATGTACATGAAGACAGTAAGCGACACAGTGGTCTTCAACACTCATGATTTTGTTATTTCATATTTTCAAGATCAGACGTACGCTGCACAATTTTTATGGTGGGATTGTTGTACGGGTACAAGACTACTTGTAGGTGACATTAATGTGGGATGTTTTTTTTATTATCTTTACTGTCACAAAAGACTTAATTTTTGTTTTACATTTCTGTCAAGTACTTAAGGTAGATATGCAGTTGTAATAAATTTAAATAAAAGTTATACCTTATCAAAAGACAAACACGTATACAGAGTTTCTTCCAGGCATCTCTTCGTTGGGGTAAAAAAATTTACCGCCCCCGCCCCCCCCCCCCCCCCCCCGAACGAAATGAAATTTATATAATTTATATAGTAAATATATACTTTTAAAAGTGTCCGGCCCCCCCCCCCCCCCCCCGAAGAAAGTCTACCGCCCCCCCCCCAAATTTCAAGTGCCCCCCGGAGAATAAAGTCTGGAAGAAACACTGCACGTATAGCAGCACTTTAGGATTAGAGACGGTTTGTTTTGAATCACGAGCAAAGTAAATTAAAGATACGAGGAACTGTTATAGAGGGCTTCAAAATTAGTCAAAAATAATCACTATGAAAAAATGTGTTAATTTTTGTGCTTCGGATCTGTTCAAATATTGTAGTCTAGCTTAATTCTGCATTGTTCTGAAATGGAAGAAAAAGTAAACCCGTTTTAAGAAGTTTTATTCAATAGCTGGGCAAGAGTAAGTAAAAAAAATGATGCAACTAAAAGTGAAAAGAAAAGAGATAAAAAAGTATACAGTAGCATTTAAGCCTAGTTATGTTCGGTGAAGATTAGATATTTAAATTAGTTGTAACGGTAGATGTAGCATTTAGTGTGTAAATAAATTAAACTGACAGAAAGTGTTTACAATGAACAGTGTAGAGAGCAGGGGCGGAACTACAGTGCCGCCAGACCCCGCAATGCGGGGGGGCCCACGCCGTTTGGGGGCCCACAACCGACCATAATCAATTTCTTTATAGTTAAAAAATAATTTTCTTGTAAAAAAACAAACAGATCTACTACAATAGTGATGTTCTACAGTAGCTATAAACACACGCTGTTTCGTAAAGGAAAACAAGGTAATTAAACAGTCTAGTGACAATTTTAGCGCAATTTCCTTATGTTATCTAAAAATAGCTGTGTTGTAGCGTAAATCAAGAGCAGGGTTAGTAAAACCATTGGTTAAAATACATGTTTTATTTACAATAGAGTTACATGACTAAAAACCATTGCGCGCCTAGCTACTGAACGTGATGACGCAGCCATTGAACGTGACGGCGCAGCTATTGAACGTGATGACGCGTGTGGTGCGGTTGGAAAAAATGCCTACTAATTCTTTCCAAATTTTAATTAATTCAAAAAAATTTTTGTGACCGAATGAAAGGATATTTTTGAAAACTTTCTTCGGCAATATTGTTCTAAATTATGGCAGGAATCGATTGGTACATGTTTCAAGTCGCTAAGTGGTCTGGTTGCCGAGATATGGGCTAAAAACTGCTTTTTTTCGAGGTTTTTTGGCTTTTCCGGGAAATCCATGAAAGAAACCCGGAATTTTTATGGCCTATGTTCATCCTCGTAACTTGCTTAACATAATTGCTTTTGGAACTAGTCATCGATATTGCTTCGTTGAGGAGGAGATACGACTTAAAGATGCGGACACACATCCATCCATCCATCCATACATCCAGAAATGACGGGTTAATAAACGCAATTCTCCAGAATGGAAATTGCGCTAAAAATATATAGGCTACATGAGTTGTAGTGTGAAAAACAGGCAAACGTTCAAACCACTTCCATGACTTATTTCCCTTTTTTTTAAATAGTCAAATATGTGTGCTCTTAAGAAACTTTTAATAGATTTGCACTAAACAAATTAAAAAGCAATTACTTCACTTAATTATTAGTTTAAAAAATACTTAATAAAGAATGAAATAGTATAAAAAGGAAATGTATTAAAAGCTAATAATACAAATACAAAAAAACTGTAAAATAAACGTAAGGCGAGAAACCATTACACATACAAAGCTTTCATGCTTCATATTCTTTTGACCGACTTACCAATTAGCAAACATGTCAAACATTAAAACAGAGAATTTCAAAATAGACTTATAGCTACTCACAGAAATGATGTGCTGTTGTATCATGATTTAATTAAAAATAAAAACTAAGAAATTTTTATTTTTTCAAATTTCGAACAAGCCCGCATTGAGTATTCTATGTTCGTATTCTGTTTATTTTTGTTTATATATATATATATATATATATATATATATATATATATATATATATATATATATATATATATATATGTATATATATATATATAAATATACATATATGGGGCCCAAAATTTTTTTTTGCGGGGTGGCCCAATTTTTCTAGTTCCGCCACTGGTAGAGAGTAACCAAGTATAGCTCCTATCTATTACCCCTTTACCTCTTCTAGCATCTTCCGTATGTTCAATTCGTTATAATCTTACCTTCTAACGCTTTAAAAATGTGTGTGTGGGGGAGGGGGACATATATTTTAACCGTTTTCACACTATTACAGTAATTGTCGAAAGTTTTCTTAAACTATAATAGGTGAAAGTATCACATATTTTAACACGAATATGGTACACGCCACCTCTACACTATTTACAGAAGTACGCAATAATTTTCAATAATTTTCAAATATTCGGCTTCAAGCCCAGTTGCTGTTGACGATAAAGTCCGGGTCTCTGCTATTATCTACGTCACTGTTCTCAACATTCAAAATGTGAAAGAGCTCAAAGAAAAAATCGCCAAGGATTTTCTAGACAAAGTACACGAAGATGCAGGCTACTTCAAGGACCAAAATGTAGATCCAAGCTCCATATTTCTTGCAGATTCAGGTATTTCTTAGGACTTGTTAGAAATAAAGTAGCGTTCATAATATTGTCAATGTCATACAATCTTTATCTATACATATATTTAATAATTACTTCAAGGACCAAAATGTAGATCCAAGTTCCATATTTCTTGCAGATTCAGGTATTTCTTAGGACTTGTTAGAAATAAAGTAACGTTCATAATATTGTCAATGTCATACAATCTTTATCTATACATATATTTAATAATTACTTCAAGGACCAAAATGTAGATCCAAGTTCCATATTTCTTGCAGATTCAGGTATTTCTTAGGACTTGTTAGAAATAAAGTAACGTTCATAATATTGTCAATGTCATTCAATCTTTATCTATACATATATTTAATAATTAGTGCATTGCTGTTCTTCTTCTTCTTCTTCGTTCTTAATTTTTAGTGTTGAAAGTGATCGAGCCTTATCTGCCAGAGGGTTTGAACTCGTGTCAACTGATTATGCGTTATTGAGCCCATTGACTCCGATTTCAGCCTGCTTTTCTTTTTGGATTTGCAACAACAAACTACAAGGCAGCAGTTGTTTGATTTTGGAATTGTCTCTCCTAGAAGAGTTGCTGTCTCCAGCTAACGAGCCTCCTCTGCCCGAGGGTTCGAACTCGAGATTTTTCATTTTAGCAACCATGAGCTTTACCGACTCGACCACACCGACCCCTTGCATTGCTGTTGCAGTAACATTTAAACTAAAAGCAAAATCAGACACTTTTAAAGTTTTATATTAGAAATTGAGATTTTTGAAAAAAATATGAAATTCATTAGCAAATAAAAGAATTTTTTTATTCGTAAATATTGAATCTTAGGAGATAAACTTTATTGAACAGGTTTTAATTTAGATATACGATAGGGCGATTTTAAAGCAAGTCTAAAAATGTGATACTCACTCCAGGCGTTGAAATTTTATTTAGAAACATCTATTTTATTCTGTCTGTTATTCTTCATTGTTGTTTGCCTTGTATATGTCTTTTTGTGTTTCCCATAGATTTGCAGACAAACAAAATTAAAAAATTGTATCAATTGCTTTTAACTTTGTTATAGATAAACCACACTGCCCAAAGGAGGTAACGAAGCACTTAAACGTTGAGATGGTATGGGAAGACTCCTATGTCGGCGAATCGACACATCTCAATATTTCAGCCGACGGCTGGCTAAAAACATTTAGCAGGAAGTGGTAGCTTGATATTTTCTTTCAGATTTCATTTGCCTAAAACTATTTTAGACCAAAAAATACTTTTTTTCCCTCGTTTTACTTCTGGATGTCTTTCCTCCAAATGACATTCTGTTTTTAACTTAGATTATTTTTTTTTTTTTTTTTGGTCATATTATTTCCTATTATCTCTCACCAACCTACTTTTTTTTTTGTACCTTTACGCTGCAGAATATTTTCTGCTTTAATCTATCCTATTACTTGCACTAGCCTCTGTAAAAAAAAATCTATCTTTAAAGGACCATCACTAGTGTGTTTAGTTATCAGCATATACCCGGCATTGCTCGGATTTAAGAAAATATATTACTTTTGAAAATAACCCTAACCACAACCAACCAAAACCAAAACACAAATTAAAATAAGCAAACATAACGTAAACGCAAGGGCAAACACAAAACCAACCGCGTTTTACCTACCACATTGCCCTTTATCAACCCACGCTAATTATATTTTTTTTTTTCCAACACCAAAACAAACTAATAAAAAGTATTTATTCCCCCAATCTAAGGTTGTTTTTCTTCAAGGGAAAAAAAATAATGTATCTATCTCGGGAAGTAATCGACAATAAATGAAACAGAGTGAAGTAATGTGTAACCTTTTTTAAACTTTTGTGAAGGGTGAAACATGTTCTTTGACTTTGGTGATTCCACATGACGTTAATTAAAATGATACGTTTAGAAAATGAAACTTTTTCTTTTTCAAAATTATCCATATTAATTTTTTAATAACTGATTTAGATAATAAATGCTTTAAGAATATTACGCATTTGCGAATAAATCCAGTTTTTTTACAATGTGCCTCTTGGCTTAGGGTCCGCCCGCTGTCCGCTGTCACATACAGAGGCACATAATCCATTTGATAGGGCCCCAATGTTTGAAAGGGAAGAATGTTTGCTTTGATGTGTCGCGTTGTAATAACATAACTTTTTCCGATTGCTTAAAATTTGTATCATTTTAATTCTCTGTAATCACAAATTTATTTCAGCTCTACTTAAAAACCCAAATTCTACCCCACCCCCCCCACCCCCTCACCCACCACGCCGAGGGAAAAAAATCCCTTGAATCATCATTTAATTACACATTTGCATTTTCAGGTTGTTTTTTTTTTTATTTATTTTTTTTATATTTTTATATTTGGACGTTTTGTATTAGATCTATGTATAAGTACACCATCTTAAATGAATTAAAGTAGGCTACAAGTAAGAAAGAAATATTACTATTGTAAATCTGTATCAGTCCTAACAAGCCGATGATGAAAACTGTAATACTAAAGCAAACACACAACTGACGCTGTAAATTACATGTCTGAGGCACAAAAAAAAAAGAAAAAAAAAAAATTAAAAAAAAAAAAAAAAAGGCCCCAATAGAAATTTCGGCCACAGTTCTACTCAAACTTAACTTCTTCTGTTTTCAGCATTCAAGAAAACTTGGTGCCGAAATGGAGCAGCTTGACTATAAAAATTACAAGTAAGAACACATAATTTGTGAAAGTTAATGATGAAAAGGGGATGGCTTAGTCTGTTGAGATACCTAGTCGGGAAGGTGAGGTTTGTTTGTTGAGGACAGCATCATATATCGGACATGAAACTGCACAATCAAACAACTCCTGCCTCGTAGATTAGAGCCAGACTTGTTTCGCGTTTGTCGCATTAGGTCTAGTGTCTATTTGGGCATTTATCGTTTCCGTGGAAGTGTTTACTTGGTCAAACGACATTTGAAGAAGTGTCTTTCAGTAATTAGTCGAAAAACCCCTCACAGATTGTGTTTTGCTGAACATGGCAGAGCCAAACGAAATACCAGACTGAGGTCAAATGAAAAGGACCGTATTAGCTGTAAAACGTAACTGTTTTGTGCCATTCTTTTCTATGCTCCGAAAAGGAAACTGCTGTGGCATGCTGCTAGTATATATATATATATATATATATATATATATATATATATATATATATATATATATATATATATATATATATATATATATATATAAATGTATATATATAAATAAATATAAATAAATATATATATATATATATATATATACTCTTATAAATATATTTTTTAATTCTCAGATGGTACAACAGATACAACACTACCCACTATGGAGCCGCTGGGGATAACCACGTTCCCACCTGCCACAGCGGCTTCAATGTTAATTAACGCATCGCTGCTCGCCCACGATTTACACCAAAGTCGGCACATGTCCAATGAAGACTACGAGCGTACGATAGAGCAGCTGGAAGACCTGTGCCAAGATGAGAGCCTAGCCGTGCCCGGCGTCTCCCGAGCCATGGTCTTCTGTTTGAACGAGTTGCTGGTACACCACAAGGAGCACTTGAGTGCCGAAGGAGGTTTTAATAAACAGAGGTACTGTGTTTAGAGCATGTGTTGAACGTAAATGTACTTTGTCTATTGCAAATTGATGTAATCGTCGCTCGGCTTGAAATTGGAATGGCACACGAAAAAAAAAGGTCTTTGGCTTATTAAATTACTTTATACAATTGCAACATTTCTTATACTTGCCCAAACCCAATCAGAAACTCAAGCTTAAATACAAGCCTAAGCTTAAACCTAAGCCTAACCTTAAATCTAAGCCTAAGCCTAAACCTAATCATAAGCTTAAACCTAAGTCTAAGCCTACGACTATGCCAAACCCTAAAATTAATTATAAGCTTAAACCTAAGCCTAAGCCTACCTAAGCCTTCTAATGCCTATGCCTACGCCTTGACACTAAGCTTACGTCTGAGCCTAAGCCTAAGCGCAGTGGCGTAGCGAGGGGGGGGGGGGGGGCGGGGGTGCGGTGCGCACCGGGTGACACCATTTAAGGGGGTGACACCAAGGCAAAAAATAACAAAATATATAGAGAAAAACGATAATTCCACTTAATAAAGCGATTAATTGGTGTGTTAAAAAGTCTTTTAAGAGCAAATTTGACAAATCCTGACAAGGGCGTAGAGGGGGTGCAAATCTAAAGTTTGAGGGGGGGGGGGGGTGCAAATCGTAAGTTTGAGGGGGGGGGGGTGTGCAAATCGAAAATTGAGTGTTTGTTCCCGGGCGCCGGGAAGGGTCGCTAAGCCTCTGGGGGGTGACACCATTAAGTGCCACTGCCTTCGCGTAAGTTAAAGCCTTCCCTGTGTTTTAAAGGCTGCTGGACGTCATAGAAAAGGTGGCTGAGAGGACGCCCTTAACGAACGGATCTTTCAAATACGTGGAGAAGCTGCTGGCAGTTTCAGGCTTCAGGCTACCTAGCGACACTACAGGAGAACTTGTCATGTCCATCTCTGGTTTTTTGTCCACTGGAGATCTAACGGCAGGAAATGTACGTCATTTAACTACAAATATATAAAGCAAAATACCCTAGTAAACAAATATAGAGTGTAGATTAATTATACTTGCCGTCCCGTTTTCAGTGCTATTTTGTAAAATCGTGTTCTTGTTATTTAACAAAGAAGCTTATATGTAATGCATTTCTAAAGACGCCGTGGTCTAGTATTAGAGCGTTCCACGACTAACTATAAAGTCTCGAGTTCGGATCCCGAGTCAGTACTACGTCCCTGAGTCCAACTAACTCTAATAACTACCCAACTTAGCTTAATGAAAGTAATGGCGTCTGGGAATTGTGCTGACCAAGGTGAACTCTATTTCACATGCACTGATATTTTAAAGGGTAGTGTTTAATGCATTTTTGAATCTTTTCTATCATAGTGGCTGTAAAAAAAAAAGAAATAATAACTATCAAGAATTTAATTTTAAAATTTTCTCGCCTGCTTCTTCTAAGAATTTTAAGAGAGCTATTTGTATTATCAGTGTTGTTGACCGCGTTTATTCCCAACAAATGTAGGGACTAGTGTATCTTTTTACTCAACCCTCAACTCGTTTATTTGTACCACTCTTTCGCCAGCTTGATATTGAGATTAAGAAGAACATCTCCACCGAATCAACGTCCATCAATATTCCGTTAACGTCTGTTTCGGCCAGTGTCAAAGAGGGAAGGATAGTCTTTATTGTTCATGCGACGGAAGAACTGTTTGTTGTAAGACGTGTATCAGTTTCTTTCATTACCATTTTAAAACACGCTGCATTACGATTGATTTATATGTTTGTGTGTAAGTAAACCCCTGATCACAGGCAATTATTCGGGAAGTAAGGAACAGCGAGTGTACAAAACGGGAGGGTATTTTAATTTGTCGTCGACATTTAGATCAATTGCTTTTCAAATATTAGTAGCCTTTGTTAATTTTGCACTGAATAAATGTAAAAAAAAAAATTGGATTTAAAAAAAAATATAATGTGGTGTCGTCGTTCCCACTGCGCCCCTCCTAGCGACGCCTATCGGAACAATCAGAGAAAAATCCAGACCAATGACGACGTGTTCTGACGTGAGAGTTCAAACCTTTCAAACAACAACTGTTTGTAGATTGTTTTTGGATGGACAAAACCTGAAGGGGTTAATCAGTAGGGACGCTGTTTTTTAAATTAAAAAATGTTTTAATAAAAAGATTTTATTTAACTATGCGCTAAATATAAAGAAATATATGGTTTTAAAAAAACAGGCAGATTAAGGAGTAAGCTGCTCATAAAATGTTGACACGTAATTCTTAATTGTATTAAAGAATAATTCATAAAAAATTAATCAGGCATCCAATTAAGTCAAATTTAATGTCGTAATGCAATGTCTTCATGTCTTGACCCACGCACCAATTACGAACCGTATCTGTCAGTTAGAAGTGTCCGAATTTTCGCTCCGGCGTTTCGATCTAGACTGACGACTGGCGACCGACAGAGGACGTGAGTTAAATAAAAGCTTGTAAAAACTAATCAGACCTTACAGAAGAAGAACCAGACATGCTTTCGATTTAAACACTAACTGACTGATATTTATGACTGAAATTCAATACAGTGTCAGCAATAAATATATTGTAAAGCTCCCCGTTTAGAAAGAAAAGGATCCATAAAGAAGGTGAAGTAGACCCCTCTTACAATATCTTACAAAGACAACTCTCGCCAAAAAATTACACTAATAAGTACCAAGATAATTATAATTATAACCAGTATTATAAAGCATCCGCTATAAAGTGAAGTACTAACGCAATGATAATTCAAACACAATCTGTATAGTTGACGGATAATTGTTGACCGATTGATTACTATTTCTTTCCAGACGCAAAACTATTCTGACCAGTACATTGTTAAACCCATCTTGTCGGCGATAATATCAGGCGCTCAAGTAAACTTGGTTGATGAGAGGATCCTAATAACCTTGTTACACGCAGATAAAGTAAGTCACAACCAGGATTGGTCGTTTAGAGGCGTCGATAGGATCGCGGCGTGATGTGCTTTAAAAGGTTTTACTTCTCTTCTTCTTCGTTCTTAATTTTAGTGTTGGAAGGGATCCCCCTCCAACACAATTAAGGATACGGGTCAACTGGTTATGCGCCATTGAGGCCATTGAATCATTGATTTCAGCCTGCTTTTCTTTTTGGATTTGCTTCCATAGCCTTTGTCCAACCAAGAACAAACTACAAGGTAGCAGTTGTTTGATTTTAGAGTTGTCTCTCCTAGAAGAGTGGCTGTCCCCAGCTAACGAGCCTCATCTGCCCGAGGGTTCGAACTTGAGATTTTCGTTTTAGCAGCCTTGAGCTTTACCGACTCGAACACGCCGACCCCTAAAGGTTTTACATTTACAAACAATTTTTAAGCCCGTCATCCTTCTGACACGGATGCGTTTTTATTTTCATTATTTTAAAACTTAAGCCTTAAACCTTACACGAAAGCCTTGTCTAACGATTTCACTACTGACATCAAGTTTAACAAATTACAAACCGGATTATTATTAGCGGTAGTAATTCAAGAAAGCCAATGTAAATTTAACTTTTGTAATTTTCAAAAGATATTTCATTTAACAATAATGTTTACAATAATAATAATAAAGTAAAACTATATCTGTTCTGGCCCTTTCAACTGAATAGGAGTTTTGTATTATTTTGGCGTGTGATTTAAATTGTTTAGCTGGTTATAGTTTTTCGCATCTGATGTGTTCGAGTGGTCGGGACTGAGACAATTTATTGATGTGTAGGCAAACATGTATGCTAAGCTTCTGAGCTATATTATGCGCTCGACAAAGAATGTAACGCTTAGTGATCCATTTTAAGTATGTGAATTACAAAAGTACATTTTTGAACTTAAGTTGTGTTAGATTCAATTGCACCGATTCGCATGATCGTTTTTTTTTTTTTAGCTATTTTCATTTTTGAAATGGATCATCGTAATTTACAGTTCCTGCCCCAGACAAAACGGGGCAGAGGAAGTAGAGTCTATATGTTTTAAAGTCTTCCATTTAGTGTCTTCAGCACGATGCCTGACGACCAGTGTTTCTTCCAGACTTTTTTCTCCGGGGGGGGGGGGGACTTGAAATTTTCGGGGGGGGGGGGGGGGGGGCGGTAGACTTTTTTCGGGGGGGGGGGGCGGACACAGTTAAAAGTATATATTTTCTATATAAATTATATAAATTTCATTTCGTTCGGGGGGCGGTAGGATTTTTTCGGGGGGGGGGGGGGGGGCGGACACAGTTAAAAGTATATATTTTCTATATAAATTATATAAATTTCATTTCGTTCGGGGGGGGGGGGCGGTAGGATTTTTTCGGGAGGGGGGTGCGAAGCCCCCCCCCCCCCCCCAGAAGAGATGCCAGAAAGAAACTCTGCTGACCACCGTTGTTTCTTTAACATGAGTTTGGTACCTATCGAACTGGGTGGGCGCAGGGACGACCTACGCTCTTGTACGCGAGATCCGAACTCGAGACCTTCCTTGTTTGTCGCGAGGTTCTACCCCTCATTGCATGTGTGTTGTTTCAGGGTACACACCAGCCCAGCTGTGTTTACTGGAACCGGTCGGACAGCGGAGAATTGGGCCAGTGGTCGACGGAGGGCTGCGAGCTGGTCTCGTCATCAGAGAACAAGACCATCTGCGCGTGTAATCACTTAACGAACTTCGGGCTTCTGATGGTGGGTAGGGGGTGGGTCTCTGTGGTCTCGTATATGGTGTTAGGTGGTGCCGTGTTGGTGGTGATAATTTATTAAATTGTGAGATGCAACACCTTGTCTCGCTTCATATGGTATATTTAGTGGTCTTATTTAGCCTATTATCTTGTTTCGTGTGTTTTATTTATTTAGTGGTCTGATTTAGCCCATTGTCTTGTTTTATATGTATTTACTCATTGATCTAGCCCTTTGTCTTGTTTTATATGTATTTAGTGATTGATCTAGCAAATTGTCTTGTTTAATATGCAATATGGATTTAGTTATCTATTCTAGCCCATTGTTTCGTTTCATATATTATATTCATTTAGTGGTCCGATAGAGTCTATTATATTGTTTCATGTGTTGCATGTATTTAGTGATCTGAAATAGCCCATTGTCTAGTTTCATATGTTACATGAATTTAGTGGTCTGATTTAGTCAAGTGTCTTGTTTTATATGTTATATTGATTTAGTGGTCTGATGTAGTCAAGTGTCTTGTTTCATATGTTATATTGATTTAGTGGACTCATTTAGTCAAGTGTCTTTTTTCATATGTTATATGGATTTAGTGGACTCATTTAGTCAAGTGTCTTGTTTCATATGTTATATTGATTTAGTGGTCTCATTTAGTCAAGTGTCATGTTTCATATGTTATATTGATTTAGTGGTCTCATTTAGTCAAGTGTCATGTTTCATATGTTATATTGATTTAGTGGTCTCATTTAGTCAAGTGTCATGTTTCATATGTTATATTGATTTAGTGGTCTCATTTAGTCAAGTGTCTTGTTTCATATGTTATATTGATTTAGTGGTCTCATTTAGTCAAGTGTCATGTTTCATATGTTATATTGATTTAGTGGTCTCATTTAGTCAAGAGTCTTGTTTCATATGTTATATTGATTTAGTGGTCTCATTTAGTCAAGTGTCATGTTTCATATGTTATATTGATTTAGTGGTCTCATTTAGTCAAGTGTCTTGTTTCATATGTTATATTGATTTAGTGGTCTCATTTAGTCAAGTGTCTTGTTTCATATGTTATATTGATTTAGTGGTCTCATTTAGTCAAGTGTCTTGTTTCATATGTTATATGGATTTAGTGGACTCATTTAGTCAAGTGTCTTGTTTCATATGTTATATTCATTTAGTGGTCTCATTTAGTCAAGTGTCTTGTTTTATATGTTATATTGATTTAGTGGTCTGATGTAGTCAAGTGTCTTGTTTCATATGTTATATTGATTTAGTGGACTCATTTAGTAAAGTGTCTTTTTTCATATGTTATATGGATTTAGTGGACTCATTTAGTCAAGTGTCTTGTTTCATATGTTAAATTGATTTAGTGGTCTCATTTAGTCAACTGTCTTGTTTCATATGTTATATTGATTTAGTGGTCTCATTTAGTCAAGTGTCTTGTTTTATATGTTATATTGATTTAGTGGTCTGATGTAGTCAAGTGTCATGTTTCATATGTTATATTGATTTAGTGGTCTCATTTAGTCAAGTGTCATGTTTCATATGTTATATTGATTTAGTGGTCTCATTTAGTCAAGTGTCATGTTTCATATGTTATATTGATTTAGTGGTCTCATTTAGTCAAGTGTCATGTTTCATATCTTATATTGATTTAGTGGTCTCATTTAGTCAAGTGTCTTGTTTCATATGTTATATTGATTTAGTGGTCTCATTTAGTCAAGTGTCTTGTTTCATATGTTATATTGATTTAGTGGTCTGATGTAGCCCATTGTCTTGTTTCATATGGATTTAGTGAGCTGATATAGTGCTCTGCCTTGTCACATGTATAGAAAACTATAACTTAAAAAACCTAATTAAATAAATGGTAGGTGAAATAGAGTTCACATGTTTCATGACTTTGACATTCGAAGCGATGGGATAGTCATCACTGTGCCCAGGCGCTTTTACTTTTTCCAACGTGGGTCAGGTACCCATCACAGTCTAGTGGACTCATGGACGCCTGGCCCTAGATCCAATCTCGAGATCTTTCAGTTATCAGTCGGAAACTATACCATTCGTCCACGCATTCCTCTTTCCTAATATATGGTACGAGACGACCCGCGGCATATCATACGCCGCTATTTAGTTGTTTTATTTTCTACTTTTCAGTAATTCATAATTTGTGAATTCGACAGTACCAATGCTGCCACTAAAAAATGTTTGCTTTAAAACACTATCAGTAGGCCGTTAAGGACAATACTACCCCCACCCTCGTTTCCCCAACCCCTACCCTACACCCCCCCCCCGTGAAAGCAGCCTCCTCTTAGTACCTCCCCTAAGTTTAAAATCGTTTCAAACTAAATTATCTGCCCCTAATAGCCGTCACTAAACCCGGCTCTACGATTGTAAATATTTAGCGTGAACCACAGCTCACCAGACCATGTGGGGTTGGGGGAGGTTAATTTTTGCCCAGTGAAGAAGAGAGGGGACTGCAAGGCGCGCTTACGGCTTGATTTCTAGGGTCTCCAAGAAGAGAATTATATATACAGATAGATAGACGATAAACTTAACAAATGTAGCCTTCGAGATCTTTCAGTTATCTGTCGGACACTATACCATTCGTCCACGCATTCCTCTTTCCTAACATATGGTACGAGCCGACCTGCTGCGTATCATACGCCGCTATTAAGTTGTTTGTTTTTTTTTCCTACTTTTCAGTAATTTATAATTTGTGAATTCGACAGTACCAATGCTGCCACTGAAAATATTTCCTTAAAAACACTAAACCCCCCTCCCCCCACGTAAAAGCAGCCTCCTCTTAGTTACCTCCTCTAAGTTTAAAATCGTTTCAAACTAAATTATCTGCCCCTAATAGCCGTCACCAAACCCGTCTCTGTGATTGTATAATGTAAACAGCGTGACCACAGCTCACCAGACAATGTGGGGGTGGGGTGGGGGTGGTAGTGATAGTGATAGAGAGAAAGAGAGGGGACTGCAAGGAGGCGCTTGCAGCTTGTTTTCTAACTGATCCCAGAAGAGAATTATATATATAGATACGTGATAAACTGGACAAATGTAGCCCTTTGTCTTCTCATACACGTTATATGTCTAAACCTTAAATGCAACTTCCACAATGTGGACAAACATACTTGCCTTATATCTTTTAAGCCCTTGAGAAACAAATGGCTCAAAATACACATTTCCAAAATCTGTTTTGTGCAGCTCTCTTTAGTTCAGCCCACATTAATGTATAAAAACCAGTCAATATAAAAGACTAAACACAACAGTTATCGTTCATGTTTATACGTATATCCAGAGGCGTTGCGAAGCGGGGGCGGGGGATGCGAACCGCACCGGGTGACATCATTGAAGGGAGGTCGGGGGGGGGGGGGTTGAGACCAAGACAAAAAAAATTTCAAGATATATAGAATAAATATGTTTTTTTTAATCAGTGATGCACACTATAATTTACAGAGAAAACAGAAAGGGGGGGGGGCTACACCATGAGGTGCCCCACCGGGTAACTCCCGACCTAGCAACGCCACTGCGTATATCTTTCACAATATGATTTTCTCGTTTAGATACCCAATTTTCTCGTCTTGTATACAGGATATATACGAGGTAAAAGCTTCTATTAGCGAGGCCCACCTAGAGAGGTTATCTATCATTACAATCGCGGGCAGTATGATATCATTTTGCTGCCTACTCCTAACTATATTTAATTACACTATCTTCAGGTAAGTGATACATTAGTTAGTGATTATTTTAGATTATATAATGTTCAATATATTATTTATGGGATCTATTGACTGCTTGTGTGAACGTTATTTACGTATAATGGTCATACTTTTAAAATATTAAGGAAAATGTTATCTACATTTTTGGTTTTATAAAAATAACCGACACGTTTGGCAAGATTATATAATGTTCAATATATTATTTAAGGGATCTTATGACTGCTTACGAGAAGGTAATTTTCGAATAATGGTCATACTCGTAAAATGTTTAGGCAATGTTTATCTACACTATTGGTTTTATAAAAATAACCAGTCCGTTTGGCAAGATGTCGACAGACTATGATAATAAAATTATTTTTTTTTGTTTTTTGGTTCTTGTGTTTGTGGTTAGATACGTTCAACGCACTTTGAACGTGTTCTATTCTTGTTTTTAAATTTAGCATAGACCTTAACGCTGTTTGAAAGGAGACAAAGTTAGGATCTTGTAGTTATCAAAACAAAACGCTAATCTTCAACATCCAGTGTGGCTTTTGGTTTTAGTAGGTTCGGCAACTATAGACTTCTGAAGCATTCTGTAGCGATCATTATAAAGTATGCTTTTGAGACCGCCATCAAATTTTAACGTTTTCATGTTCTAGCTGGTAAACATAAAGTTATTGGTAATACTTCACTTATTCTTTTCTTGTAAACCTCAACGTTTCAATATATAATCCGTGCAAGATTTGTGTTAATCGGTTACATACACGATGGAGTTTTAAAATCATTTACGGTTATCAACTAATGAAGGCACCTATACAAGAGGAAGTATTATATATATATATATATATGTATATATATATATATATATATATATATATATATATATATATATATATATATATATATATATATATATATATATATATACATATATATATAAGGAAACAAATTATAAAAAATAATCACTCTACAATATTTTATGTTATCTTTTTCACTAGTCCATCTAAAATGAATTATATTATCTTTTCACTAGAAAGCTGAGGTAATTTTACCTCTACAGTTCATAGAAGTAATTGTCCCTACAAACCATTTTACATTAACTTTTTTTGCTAGAAAGTTTAGGGGTAATAGTCCCTCTAAAACACAAAAAAATCTTATTTCTTTCCCTAGTAATTTGAGGAAAAATACTCCCTCTAAAATAGTATACAATCTGTGCTGGGCACTGATGCTCTTCAATGGCTTCTTTCTATTGGGGCATTTTACTACAGATGTCATAGAGGACAACTCTTCCTGTAAGGTAAGATTTTTCCTACAGAATCGTAAATTAACTCCCTTTTAGCCTGGCGGTCCTTGGGGTGTATTGAGTGGAGTTCATGTTTTTGTGGCATCGGTATTGAATGAATCATGTGGCCACAATAATTTCTGGACGTTCTTGAACTCTAGTCACGGACTCGAACTCGAGATTTTTGGTTAGCAGCCGAATGCTCTACCACAGGACCACCTTACAGAACCGTATCTAGTTAAATTCTGTGCAAATATTCATGGATTTAGTCATTCTATTTCGTATAGTCAGAACAAAACGAGGGTTTGTGTAAAGACTATTGGGTGTTAGTTTCTTTTCACGAATTCCTTTTCCCATTAACTGATTCATAATTCAAAATGAATGAAAAGCTTATCATAAAGGAGTAGGCCTACATCACTAAATATACTTCGGGCCTTCTAAAAAAAAAAAGAAAAAAATGATAAAGATGTGTAACATAAGTATTGTCGGACATTCTCTTTTTAGCGCAATTTCCATACGGACAATTGCGATTATTAACTCGTCATTTCTGGATGGATGGATGAATGAATGGATGTGTGTCCGCAGCTTTAAGTGGTATCTTCTCCTCAACGAAGCAATATCGAGGACTAGTTCTAAAGCAAATATGTTAAGCAAGTTCCAAGGATGATTGTGGGCTAAAATAATTCCCGGAATTCCTTCCTGGATTTCCCGGAAAAGCCAAAAAACCTCGAACAAATGCAGTTTTTGGTCCATATCTCGGCAACCAGACCACTTAGCGACTTTTACCAATCGATTCCTGACATATTTTAGAACAATATTGCCGAAGAAAGTTTTCAAAAATATCCTTTCGTTCGGTCACAAAAAATTAATTAAGAATTATTAAACTGAGCATCGTGTAGGTCTAGGATGATATTTTTAATTTAAACCGAGCATCGTGTAGGTTTTTAGCGCAAAAAAATCCTTTCGTTCGGCCACAAAAAAATTAAAAATTGTTATGGATAACATAAGGAAATTGCGCTTAAATTGTCACTAGACTTTTTATTGACTTGTTTTATATAGGTATTGATTTATAATGCTGTTGAAGAAATAAATATATACACCCAGTGTTCACCAACAGCTGCCTATAATGTTTATTTTTCAGGCCATGGCTGCCCTACTACATTACTCGCTACTCGCTGCTATGTTTTGGATGTCAGTAAATGCATTTTTCATGTACATATCGGTGGTGAAGGTGTTTAACATACAAATCGCTTACTTTTTCTTGAAGTGTTTTCTGTTTGCTTGGGGTAAGTGATGTTTCTACTTTTATGTATGCTGTATGTGATATTAAACAACAGCATATGCATGATGTAATGTTAAACAGCAGCATATGTATGGTGTATGTGATGTTAAATTGTAGCATATGTATGGTGTATGTGATGTTAAACAGCACCATATGTATGGTATTTGTTGTTAAACAGCAGCATATTATGTATGGTGTTTGTGATATTAAACAGCATTATATGTATGGTGTATGTGATATTAGACAGCAGCATATGTATGGTGTATGTGATGTTAAACAGCAGCATATGTATGGTGTATGTGATGTTAAACAGCAGCATATCCATGGTGTATGTGATATTAAACAGCAGTATATGTTCATATGGGGTAGGTGGTGTTTCAGGGGCTCTCTGTGTACATTTAGTAGGTGATGTTTGAAGCCCTTGACTCCGATTTCAGCCTGCTTTTCTTTATGGATTTGCTTCCATATCATTTGTCCAACCAAGAACAAACTACAAGGCAGCAGTTGTTTTGATTTTGGAGTAGTCTCTCCTAGAAGAGTGGCTGTCCCCAGCTAACGAGCCTCATCTGCCCGTGGGTTCGAACTCGAGACTTTTCGGTTTAGCAACTATGAGCTTTACCGACTCAACCACCCCGACCCCTGTCCTGGGGATTGAATAGGGACTTTTCGGTTTAGCAGCAATGTGCTTTACCGATCCGACCACGCCAACCTCAACACAAAACCGACATATTAAATCTAATTGATAATGCATCAAATTATGTGTCACTGGTTATTCACTTTGAATCTTTTTGGCTGTGTGTATTTAGGTTTGCCTGCGATATTTGTTGGCATTACGCTGCTTCTAAACGAATCCAAGAACTATGGAAAGATTAACACAGAGTTGTAAGTTTTATAGCATCTGGTTGTATAACGTAAACACGAGTATTATTAAAGACATTGATACATTAATGTGTATGTATTGTGTGTACGTAATGTGTAAACGAAAGGAATGTGTATTTATAAGTGGGGTAGATTGTGTGAGCTAAATGTGAAGATTTAACTCAAGCGAAACCTAGGATCTTTCACATATTAATGTTTAAATTATACACGCTTGTTGACAGCGTATGTGACTTGTCCTAAAAAACCACATGTAAGATACGAATGGGTAACATTTAAAACACTGCGTTTACTTTCTAGAAATACATAGTGCTTTTTTTTTATTTTGTTTTATTAACATAAGTAATATGCTTATGTTTAACATAATTAGAAGGTAATGCTTTTCGTACTGATTAGTAAAAAATTCGAATCGGTTTAACGGAGTATTATATTATTAATAATAGGAAATAGTAAATGTAATGTAAAAGTAAAGACACTTTGATTAGGGCGAAAATTTGCGTTTCAATATTTGTTCTGTAGATGATCTAATGTAGAAACACAACACTTAATTAAGACTTAATTACTTGTGTTTTAATTAGCCGTTTGAATTTGTATTTGTTTGAGTTTTTTAACAATAGAAAATGAGTTTCAATGTGCTAATTTAAAAGTTTTAAATAAATATGTCTGTTCTGTCTAGTTCAGGGGCGTAGCGAGAGGGGGGCGGGGGGTGCGGACCGCACCGGGTGACACCATTTAGGGGGGTGACACCAAGGCAAAAAATAGCAAAATATATAGAGAAAAACTTGAGGGGGGGTGCAAATCGAAAGTTTTAGGGGGGGGGGGGGGGTGCAAATCGAAAGTTTGAGGGGGGGGGGGGTGCAAATCGAAAATCTGAAAGGGTCGCAACGCCTCTGGGGGGGGGGGGGTGACACCATTAAGTGCCGCACTGGGTGACACCCGACCTCGCTACGCCACTGATCTATTTTTAGAACTGCACGAGTGCTAAATGGGGTAGTGTTGCATTATAGAAATAGACGGAGAACAATTATTAGACACTATAACTAAATCAAAATGTAGTTGATTTAGATCGGAAGGATTTTGCTCGGTTCTGAAATGTTGCTAGTTGGTTTAAGCAAAGTATGTCTAATCAATCCCAATTCGCGCTTGTGTAATACGTTCGCCAAAGATTTGGTTAAAATCATAGCATCAGAGTTTCTTCCAGGGGGGGGGGGGGATGAAATTTATATAATATATATAGAAAATATATACTTTGAACAGTGTCCTCCCCCGGAAGAAAGTCTATTGCCCCCCCCCCACCCCCCGAAAATTTCAAGAGCCCCCCCCCCCCCCCCCCCCCCGGAGAAAAAAGTCTGGAAGAAACACTGCATAGCATCGTGCAGGTTTTTTCTTATCAATTGTATGCTTTAACTCTTGCTTTGGCTTCCAGCTGCTGGATAAAGAAGCCGGCCTTCTACGTCACGCTAGTCTCACCCATCTCGGTCTCCCTAGCACTGAACGTTTACGTTTTTTGTTTGACCATGCGTGAAGTTTCCAAGAGCAACCGGAGGCATTCGTCTCTCATGATAGGAGAGGATAGAAAGTTTGTACAGTTGTATTTTTTAATCTCTTTGGCGAATACAAGCTGGATGTGTGTGTGCTGGTGAGGGGGGGGGGTGTATGGGGGGTGGGGAGAAGTGCTGGAGGTGAGTAGGGGGACGTGTGTGTGGGAGTGCTGGAGGTGTGTGTGGGGGGATTTGGATGTATGTGTGTGTGGGGGGGGGGAGGGACTGGAGGTGTGTAGGGGGTAGGTGTGTGTTAGAGGTGATGGAGGTGTGTGTTGGGGGGGGGGGTAATTTTGATGTATGTGTGGGGTAGGGGGGAAGTGCTATGGTGAGTAGGGAGAAGGTGTGTGTTGGGGGTGCTGGAGGTATATGTGTGGAAGGGGGGATTTGGATGTATGTATGGAGGGAAGGGCTAGAGGTGTGTAGGGAGTAAGTGTGTGTTAGAGGTGATTGAGGTGTGTGTTGGGAAGGGGGTAATTTTGATGTATGTGTGGGGTAGGGGGGAAGTGCTATGGTGAGTAGGGAGAAGGTGTGTGTTGGGGTGCTGGAGGTATATTTGTGGAAGGGGGGGGGATTAGGATGTATGTATGGAGGGAAGGGCTGGAGGTGTTTAGGTGAACGGTGTGTCTTGGGAGTGCTGGACGTGTGTGTATGTGGGGTGCGTGGTCTAGCAGTACAAAAGCACATGCGGTTAGGGTTCGAACTTACTTTTTTTGTCCCATACCGCCCATCAACTTATTTACATCGAATGTCACTTTTCAGCTTTAGGGTAAATTTACGAGCGGCCTTCAGCCTTCTGATACTGTTAGGCTTGACTTGGATTTTTGCCTTCTTTACCTTCGGTCAGCTCGGAACGCTCTTTAGCTACCTGTTTTCGATTTTTAACTCTCTACAGGTAAAGGGTCATCCATAAATGACGTCACACTCGTAAGGCGGAGGGGGGGGGTCGTAATTTTGTGACGATGTGTGATGAGGGGGAGGAGGGGGGGTTCAGATGTTGCGACGTCACATTTTTGCATTAGAAAGCGAATTTTAGACGTTATTTCGCGTTTTAGATAACTGTTTTAATAAATTGTAATAGTTTAGACAAGATTTTGGAAAAATATCGATGTTTAAAAAAAAATTCAACTGCAATTTTGAGGGGGGGGGGGTTGTAGGTTTAGGTGTGACGTAATTTTAGGTGGGGGGTCTGGCTTTTTGTGACGACGTAAGACGGAGTGGAGGGTGGGGGGAAGTAAAAACCGTCAAAATAAAGCGTGAAGTCATTTATGGATGACCCCTAAGAACGGAAGATTATGACCAGTGTAGGGCTAATAGACAGTAGGGAAAATAGGGAAAGACAGCAGTTGTTCCAGCTATAATCAAAGTTCATGAAAAGTATAAAAGCGCATATATTCGACAACAACTCTCTGAAGTTAACTTAGCAGCACATCATCATAGCTACCCTGATTGCACATCGCCTTGAAGTTATGGAATTGCATTTTTGCCCCTGCGACACCAAAAGCTATGCAGACTGGAACCTAATTCTTCAGACAAATATATTTATATTCATTATATATTTCAATGCATACGTCTTCTCCGGGTGCTGCCTTTATTATTATAGGATACATTTATCTTTGTCATGCGCCTCATATGTTAATCTAGGGTATATTTATCTTTAACATGTACTACCTGAATTATTCTAGGATACATTTATCTTTCCCATATACTGCATATGTTTCTTTAGGATACACTTATCTTCACTATGTACTGCCTGTATTACTCCAGGGTATGTTTATCTTCACCTTTTACTGCTTGTTGAAACGGGACGTATTAAATGCGTGGATGGTGTTATTCGGCTATAAGACCAACGAAATCATTTTCAGTAGTGGTAAGATTGTAATTTACGTCGTTTTATATCAGTGAATCCTACTTATTAACTTGTGATGTTTTAGCGCTCAGTAAATCACACTTTTTAAATTTCAATTTGTTTAGCACTCAGTGAATCACACCTTTTTATTGTGATTTGTTTAGAGCAGAGTGAATCAAGCTTTTTAAAATTGCGATTTGTTTAGCGCTCAATGAATCACACCGTTGTTTTTTTATTGTGATCTGTTTAGCGCTCAGTGAATCACACCTTTTTTAAATTAAGATTTGTTTAGCGCACAGTGAATCACACCTTTTTATTGTGATTTGTTTAAAGTTCAATGAATCACACCTTTTCTATATTGTGATTTGTTTAGCCCTCAGCGAACCACACATTTTAATTGTGATTTGTTTAGAGCACCGTGAATCACGCTTTTTTAAAATTGTGATTTGTTTAGCGTTCAGTGAATCACATATTTTTTAAATTGTGATTTATTTTAGCGTTCAGTGAATCACATATTTCTTAAATTGTGATTTGTTTAGCGTTCAGTGAATCATCAAGATCCAGCTTAAGAAAACATTCAAAAGGCGATGATTATAGATTCTCCGAGTCCCTGGAGAAGGAAGTCCCTGCTGACATACAAGGTTAGCACAGTTTTTCTCACATGGTTTTAAAGGCCATATTTACCCCATTAGTTTAGCATACTTGCTCACACGTCGTTTTAAAGGCATTGTGACCTACTTAGGTCTTTTCTTTCTTTATATTATTTAGTTGGCTTGTGTTATGTAATTGACGTTGGGAGAGTTGTTAGTTCACCTGATCTCCTCGGTCAACTGAACTCCGTCACGTCATGTGATTTTGATTTTAATCCTTATCAGATCCTCGGTCAATGGTCTTTTGGCATTGAAGATCCTTAACCGATCCTCGACCAATGGCCTTACAACATTACAGTAACCTCCCTTGGTTTTGATCTTAGATAAAAACTCGAGACGAGACTTCTCGAAGGGACTTTGACCTAGACCCCGGGAGACACAGTGCGGTGTGTGTGTGTGTGAGGTTTTATTTGAATTGTTCAGTTCGTAGTGATATATTTTAGTTTCTCACCAAGTTGTATGGCCATTCAAGTGTTTATGAGATATTGCTTAGGTGTGTTCTTTCATCAAGTTGTATGGTTATTCCAGTGCTTATGATATTGTATTTAGGTGTGTTATTTCACCAAGGCCTTACCTGTGACTTTGATATCTAATTGTTAGATATATTTCAGTATCTCTGAGTTATCTGTAAGTGATTTTTGTGGTTTATTTATTGCTCTTATGAATTATACTTTGGTGTTGACTTAGTGTCTATTGTACATGCTTGTTCACAAATTAAAATAGTAGTTGTCAGTTAAACCTAAGTTGAGTTCATCTTTCCTACGTGTTAGCTCCCCTAGACTGTTGTAACAAGCCCACGTAGATGCAGGTGTGCTCATTCTGTCCAAAGGTTTCTATCTAACTACATTAAACGAACCCGGGGCGTTCGCCTGTTCTGCGTCTGTCAGACGGCGATCGTAACAGCAAGATTTACCCCATTAGTTCAGCTAAGTTATTCACAAATGAGTTATTTAGCTTTCTTGTTTACAATTAAATTGCTTGAAAGGCTCGACTTGCTCTTAGATGGTTTTCTCGTAAAAATATTCTGAGACAATTTTCCTTTATGTATTTTGTTTACCAAATAATGGGCGGTTTTATAATAAACTTCATTTTTCAATAGCCTGATTGCACTGAACGTGCCTTCCTATATACTGCTATATACGAGCAAGTTTATGGAAGATCATTCCGGCAATATTTTATAGACGGACAAAAAAAATTGACCGATTCTAGCCGGAAAAAGATACGCATGCTCAATGGATGGAAGCTACTGCTTTCATTTGCGACGATGTTTTCAATGGTACTGCGCATGCGTGTGTTTACAAAAAAAAAACGCAAAACCCTAACCCTATCCCTAACTCCAGCCCTAACCCTAAAACTAACAAAAGCGCAGCTATTAATGTCACTGCGCATGCGCTGAACTATTGAGTTTCGTATCTTCTGCCAAAGAATCTTTTTCCGAGTAATAACTTCGGAAAAATTCACCATTAAGTTCAAATTGATTGTTAATGTGTGGCTAATGACAGGTGTGGCCTCTTGCAGGCTCGCCACATTTAGTGCGCTTCTTATATGCAATTTACTTATTTTCCAGAAGATGGTACGGCAATCAACTGAAAGTAACGGACTGACTACATTTTATCGCCAAAGTCGTTTTAAACACACATTATTTTACATATATGTTTACTGACTAAATTGAGTGTTATTTTATTTAGCTTTATTTGTTTCTTTAAATAAAAGTTTTAAAATCATTAAAATATACTTTTCAACATTGAAGGCGTTGATGTTTCTCTTTTCCTATGTCTTTCCTTAGCACAAGTCCAGTACCCGTCGGGCTTAGGTGGACTTTAAATAACCTCCTACGGGTGCGAGCTCATGATTTTTAAAGGGCGCTGCTTATAAAAAAAACCTCTTAGAAATAGAAGCTCTAATAGTCGTTTTAACTAACTCTAGTTGAGTTGACTTGTAGCTACAGGATTCAATCCAGTATGGCGTAATGCACCGATACATAAGTAGGACAAACTTTGCAAACGTCCATTACGTATCCAAGATATATAACTATATATATATATATATATATATATATATATATATATATATATATATATATATATATATATATATTATATACATATATACACATATATATATATAGTCCTATATGTATATATATAGTCCTATATGTATATATATATATATATATATATATATATATATATATATATATATATATATATATATATATATATATATATATATATATATATATATATATATATATATATATATTTATATTTATATTTTTATATATATTTATATATATTTATATATATTTATATATATTTATATATATTTATATATATTATATATACATATATATATTTATATTTAAATATAATATACATATATATATATATATATATATAGTTAGCTATTGTTAGATATTTATCACGTTAGTCAAGCTTGTTTTTGTTTTTTTAGTTCTTCAAATACTGTATTCGACTACTAACCCGATATGTTCGAGTGTGGTGTCACTTGGACAACTCAGAGTTCACCCAGGTCTTCTATGTACCGCACTCAGTCCACTGAATCAGGTGGACTCTACTTTACCTGTCATAATGTTTCAACGCGTACTTTCCTATATAAATAATGATGCATAAACCTATTTAATAACAATTTTTTAGGGGTGACACCAAGGCAAAAATAATTGCAAGAGATAAAGAAAAATAAGTATGTTTTTTTTCCAGTTCACCAATGTAACTATCTTGTAAATATCCACCCAAACGGCGTGGAATGTTACTGTATTTGTTTTAAATTGGAAAATAAAAGTATTAAAATAAAATAAAAAAATATAAAAAAATTTAAAAACATACATACAAAAAAAAAGTATATGTTACATTAAATAAATGTACAAACAATACATTTTAAAACAATGCTTTGAAAATAAAATAAAATTAAAAACAAAGGCTTATGAAGTTTTTATTGTAAACAATTTTTTTTAACTAAAGTTGTGTGATTACTCAACACTAACATAATTGACGTATGAATCAGTCCTTATATTTAGTGTGATTAAAGCTTTGACACAGTTGAAGCTACTTTAACACTTTGCATTCATTACAATTTAACTAAATCCAAACTCGTTTAAGCAGTATCTTATACATTGAGATGCTGACACTTTTTTTTAACCTGAGACAAAGCCTAAACATCAGAGGCAGAAACCCACCCGTCTTCATTATTAGCCAGATATCCAGTTTAAAACCAAAGAAAACGTCCGAGAAAAAATAGAATAAATAGAATTAATAGAATCTTGCTAGGTCGTGTCACCTGTATCCTTCAATGGCGCTGATTCAACAGATTCCTGTGATTTAAAAATTACCAGAATTCAGCAAGGTTAAAATCACTCCAATCATTTATCGCCATAACACTATTATAACTCACCTGTCTATCCAGTTGGATGATTTATATCTATGTTTATATATGTATTAGTTGGTATAGCGAGTTTGGAAAATAAGTAGAATGTCTATAACTTTAAAACACTAAATTATGAAGGGAGAAATATTATTTTAAAAAGAACAGTATAAACCAAATTTTATTTGAAAATGGTAATAAATAGTTAAGATTTATTCGAATTTACACATTTAATTATGTAATATGAGAAATTTATTATGTAGATTTTTTTTTACTCTGGAAATAATTAAGTTAAAATGCAAACTAGGCGACAAAGCAAATAAGACAGTGATACTGATTAAAGAATGTTGTTCATTAGAATGTATTTCTATCTTCCGACTATAATTTAAGGGGGAAGGCTCCGGTAAAAAAAACTTTTTTAATACTCGTTAGAAAACAGTTATTTCTTTACAGCTTTATTAAGATACATCCACATATGCTTTTCCACTAAAAACAATTTTGAAAAAATCTTGGTAACTATGACAACGGCGGCCATCTTGATAAAATTAACCCCTTCGTAGGTTTTCCACCATTCACAAAATATTACATTTTAAGTCCAATAAACAATCAATTCATAATCTTCTTCCATATTTTGGGGTAATCAGCTAAAATTTTTAAGTGTATATCTTCAAACTAATTTTTTATGAATTTTTAAAATTTGTGTCTGTTCGAAACACTAGTTTTAATGCCCCAAAATTCCCAAAAGTTAAGTGTTTTGAACGGACACAAATTTTGAAAATTCATAAAAAATTAGTTTGAAAATATGCACTTAAATTTTTTAGCTGATTACCACAAAATATGGAAGGATAGTATGAATTGATTGTTTATTGGGCTTAAAGTGTAATATTTTATGAATGGTGGAAAACCTACGAAGGGGTTAATTTTTCAAGATGGCCGCCATTGTCATAGTTACCAAGATTTTTCCACCATTTTTTTTTTAGTGGAAATGCATAAGCGGATGTATCTTAATAAAACTGTAAAGAAATAACTGTTTTCTAGAGAGTATTAAAAAAGTTTTTTTTTTTTTACCGGAGCCTTCCCCCTTAAATGATATATGTATTTGTCATTTCTGATGGTTTCCGACAATATTATGAATAAAGCAATGCTTGGCAAATCATTCAGTTCGAAAATACGAAGGCATTAGCTGTCTATTGAATTTCATTATGATGAAAACTTGAAAAATGCAGAAAACTATTGTGTCGGCTAAATAAAATAGAGCGGGAGTGATCTCCCCTAAACTTTCTCCAATGCAACTCGGGATATTGGCGTGATTTTTAAACAACTTTTGTTTACTTAAACTTTTTAAAATAGAATAAAATCTCGTAAAAAAATGAATGACGCAACAAGTGAACAGCGAAAAATGTATGTATCACTAGCCGTCCCGGCCAGGCCCTGCTCTGGCTTCTGTGAAAAACCTTTATGTTAAAGACCATTACCTGTGTGTTTAGTAATCATTATAAACCCGGCATTGCCCACCCAAACCACAACCAACCAAAAACAAAACAACAAAACGCAAACATAACGCTAACACAATTACAAATACAAACGAAAACAAAAACCTAACAACAAACCCAACCACAACCACAAACACCAATACAAACACAAACAAAAAACAAACAAAAAAGCAAACGAAAACAAAAACCTAACAACAAACCCAACCACAACCACAAACACCAATACGAACACAAAGAAAAAAACAAACGAAAAAGCAAACGAAAACAAAATAAATCCAAACGCAAAACGTAACCACAAACACAAACACAAACCCAAAGAAAAAAAACACAAACGAAAAAGCAAACGAAAACAAACCAAATCCAAACGCAAAACCAACCACAACCACAAATACAAACACAAATCCAAAGAAAAAAACACAAACGAAATCGAAAAAAGAAAAAACAAAAACGAACAAAATCAAAAACGCAACCATTAACGCAAACCCCAACCTAAACACACAGAAAACACAAACGCAAACAAAAACGCAAAGTGCTCACAGTCTAGCTCGCGGCAGAATCACCTGGTTCAGCTTAATAAACGACTATAGTACCCCAACTTATTCATAGCTTTTTGCACTCACTTAAACGAACGTAGGTGCCAAACCAAACCAAATGAACAATTATAATACTCCAAGCTTATCCGTAAAATACCTACGACATTTGCACTTGATCAATCCCCGCTAATTATGTAATTATTTTTTCCCAACACCAAAACAAAGTAATAAAAAGTAATTTTTTCCACTAATGCAATGTTTTATAAAGGGAAGTAATTGTGTTTTCCTAATTTTTCAAAGGGAAGTAAATGCTAAAGACTAAATATAAATAATTTTCAGACATAATTAGAGTTTTTGTAAAAGATGATATTTTTTTTAAATTGTTTTTAATGAACATGCCGGCAATTATTACTATCAGTTTGAAAAATGAAAATTATTTCCCAACACTTTCAATAGTAATTTTTTAACTCAGATTAAATATAGACAATTAGCACGATAATAATCTAACACTTAAATCCATCGAAGTATCCACGACAAATAAATTTATTTTTACATACAGAATTGAGCTTTATATATTAGAAAAAAAGTGGAATATTAGTACTTTATGCATACATTTGCGTTTTCTTTTGAGAAATATGAAATACTTTCGGTCAACATAAACTACTCAAAATTTACAAGAAATTAGAAAATTAATTATTTTACTTACATGTGAAATTTTGTTTGTCTAGGTGAAACAAGCTCAAGTTATAGGCTTTTTAAAAACTAAAAGTAGACTACAAATTATATAAATCTAGCTGTAATTGTACTCAAGTTATCATGCTCACAGACAGACATATATATAATATATATATATATATATATATATATATATATATATATATATATATATATATATATATATATATATATATATATATATAGATAGATATAGATATAGATATAGATATAGATATAGATATAGATATAGATATAGATATATACAAACATACGTACACAATTGCAAAATTAAATTTTCCGTGTAATTAGTGTTTTGTTGAATGAAACAAGTACATATTTAGGTTTACAATGTTTCATGTTGGTATGTAGATTTAATACTTTTTTGTGTGGAAGCTAATACCAAGCCTACAACGTCTCATCAATCGTTCGCATAATTTGTCATTTTTGCAATCCCGACTCACCCCGCGTGATTGACATAAATGTATGAATCAGAAAGAAAGAGCAGAGGTTCGGGGCGTATAGTAGAAATTCATTTAGCATGGAAATATAAATCGGGTGTGCTCGGCGCAGTGGTTTGATTTGCGCAGTGAAGCACAGACATTTTCCAACGGGTAACTGAGTCGTCTAGTATTATATAAAATAATTTTAACCATTTATCAACAAAAAATGTAATAAAAATCAACGTTTTTTGTAGAGTATTTCAAACGAGCCGACCCGCTGTGTATCATACGCCGCTATTTAGTTGTTGTTTTTTCTACTTTTCAGTAATTCATAATTTGTGAATTTGACAGTACCAACTCTGCCACTGAAAATATTTGCTTTAAAACACTAAACCCCCCCCCCCTCCCCCCTCCCCACGTGAAAGCAGCCTCCTCTTAGTTACCTCCGCTTAGTTTAAAATCGTTTCAAACTAAATTATCTGCCCCTAATAACCGTCACCAAACCCGGCTCTACGAATATAAACATTTAGAGTGAACACCGCTCACCAGACCATGTGAGGGGGGTGGGGGTGGGGGGTAGGGGGTCGGAGTGGGGGGGGTGGGGGTGGTAGCGACAGAGAGAAAGAGAGGGGACTGTAAGGCGCGCTGGCAGCTTGTTTTCTAAAGTCTCCCAGAAGAGACAAATATATATAGATGATGAGACGTAATACTTACAATGTTGTAACTATCTTTCATAGTTTCCTCTTCGTTCAGGCTGGATTTATAAAATGTACTTGATGTAGTCATTGTGTCTATGGAGAACAAATTATTTGATTTTAAACTACTTTACATCGATCATTATGTGGAACAAAAATATATTAATTATTAGTCCATTGTTATTTAAATAAGTATTCCTGTTTAAAAATGAACAAGGAAACACAGAGATTGTAATAAAAGAATGTCGTGCCCAAGATTCTTCATAAATCCCCCAAGCGAACGAATAATTCTAAATTTTTAATATATACTCAAAATTAATGACCAGCTTCTCGTTGCTCAAAGGCAAAAATTCTAATAGTCCTTGAGAAATGCAGGTTATTAAAAAGTTGTTCATTCCTATTGATCTTAACTCCTAACATATCTAGTTCTAAAATGTTAATACATGTAGATCACTACAGGCCAAAACTAACCTTAACCCTAACTCAAGTGTATACAAAGAAACAGAAATATCTTTTTTTTTTCAGACAAGCGTCCAATTAAATAGTTTTTGCGAAGAAAATACTTAATTAGTTACAAAACGACTTCAGTTAAACGTAAACAATGATTGGACTTACTCTTTTTTATATCCGAGAACTCATCTTTACCACAGCATAAGTTTTTCAAAATAGTCCAAACTTCTTCTTTCAGTAGACAGTAGAGAGTAAACATGAAGAGGCCCTGAAGAAAAGAAGTGAAGAATTTTTTGTTTACAAAATATCGTACACTGGCCGCGAAGGAATGCAAAGAGCTTCTAATCTAGTGTTAACAAAAAAAATGAACTCTCGACACCAAGGCCGATTTCAGCCTGCTTTTCTTTTTGGATTTGCTTCCATAGCCTTTGTGAAACGAAGAACAAACTACAATGCAGCAGTTGTTTGATTTTGGAGTTGTCTCTCCTAGAAGAGTGGCTGTCCCCAGCTAACGAGCCTTATCTGCCCAAAGGTTTGATTAGTGTGATATTTTTCTTAGATGACTTGCAGTTCAAATATATTGACAATCACCTGCCCGTGGGCTCGAACCAGGGACCCTACGGTTCAGCAATCATGAGCTTCATTATTCCGACCACGTTGATCCTCCTATGTAATGTAAACGTGAAATGAAAACTAGCATGTAAACTACATAACAAACCTGATGAATCAATTATCTATGTTTTAGAGCTTATAGCTATTTTACAAACTTCATAACTGACCAGCAAAGTTTAATAATAAATCTGCAATGATAATGACAAAATATATAAACGTAATATCTTATGTGCACGCTTTATAACTAATCCGTAATAACTAATACATTTTTCAATCTTTATAACTAACCCTTAAAACAAAAACCTCATTTTTAAGCTTTATAGCTAACCCGTAGAACTAATAAATCATATGCACGCTTTATAACAAACCTGTAGAACGAATACATCATTTTCATGCTTTATAATTAACCCCTAGAACTAATACCTCACCTGTAGAGAGCTAAACAACGCAAACAGGTATGTGAACACGGTATTCGCTGCTCCGATAGCCAGAAACGCAAAGACCCACGTGAGACCCAACAGAACAAACAAACTGACGGCTGAGCGGAAATTTCGTGCCAACCTGAAATAAAATTGAGATTTATTTCACCAATTGTGATTAATCATTCGTAAAATAAAAAGTTATTTTTTTTCGGTTGTAAAATAAACCCACAAAAAAACTTAAAAATAAGTCAATGTGATTAATCAACCTGATTCTAATCCTTTTCTAATTCTAATCCTATATATATATATATATATATATATATATATATATATATATATATGTATATATAAAAATATATATATATATATATATATATAAAGTTGCATTACATTATTTTAAATAATGTAAATGAAGGTTACTCTGTTTTAGTGGATACACCAATACTTCCCTTTTCCTTGTTTAGCAAACAAGGTCACGCGACTAAAAGTACAACAATCAGTAACGCGTTGATGAAACACTTACAAATCGTTTAGGTACCCTGGTATGTGGAACTAGATAGCAGCACAGCGGAGTATCTAATGGAAAAAAGTCCTTATTTACACGTAAATGTGTCTATGCACGTTTTTCTCTTTTGATTGCTTTGGCTTCCAAAATTCTTTTTTGTTTAAATAAAAAAAAAAATCTATCCCTACCAAGATGACTAATGACTAACATAGTTGTGTACATTTATATGGCGCCGCTGCATTCTTCACACCTCCCCCGCCCCCCCCCCCAAGTATTCATACAATCATAAATTGCTATATATATATATATATATATATATATATATATATATATATATATATATATATATATATATATATATATATATATATATATATATATATATATGTTTACACGTGCCAAGCGTTCACAAAACAAACAAACCTCTTCGTCGAACTCTCGTTTAAGCTGGTTTGGCCACTGAGCCGTGACAAACGTAGCAGCTGGTGCAGAATCATCAAGAACACAGTGCAGTTGACAACCAGCGTAAAAAGTACGGGTCCAACAACCACGTAGTAAAACTCGGGACGCTGCACCCAACATCTATTCATAGAATTCATTAATGCGTGCACTTTAAAATATTTACATCACAATATGTACATTTATATTTGCATATATAAATATATATATATATATATATATATATATATATATATATATATATATATATATATATATATATATATATATATATATATATATATGTGTGTGTGTGTGTGTGTTACGGTCAAAGCAAGAAGTCGGCCAATGCCCAGATTGGCCGGCCAATGCACGCATTGGCCAATATGGCCTCCCATAGGTCTGTCATAGTCCAAAAAACTTTGCTTGATTTCGGCCTTTGGCCGGCCAGTCCGCGGACTGGCCATGGTGGACCGGCCAAAGTATGCTAGAAGTGAGATTTTAATTCTTCACGAAAAACTGCTCTTGATGTCCTCAGTTGTCACTGAGAAAAAATCACTACGAACCATCGCATCTTCACAATCATTGACCGGCGGCCAAGGCTACACTCGCTGCAATTGCACATCTAAGTGCACAAAAAATCGCTGCAAGTGTAAAAATAACACGCTTCTATGTAATTCTAAATGCCATTAAAGTTAAACTTGTTGTAACAAGTGATAAAATTGATTGATTGAGACTCTAGTACAATAAAAAATTGAATGTTTCTGTCATTTACTTTAATCAATAATCAATAAAGACTTAATTTCATGATCCTTACGGCATAAAAAAAAACCCAAAATCTGCTCATGATCTTCTCATTCGGACTTTGGCCGGTCGTCCCTAGCCAGATGATCTTCTAATTAAGACTTTGGCCGGTTCACCATGGCCAGCCCGCGGACTGTCCGGCCAAAGGCCGAAATCAAGAGCTATTTCAGACTTTGGCCGGTCCACCATGGCCAGTCTGCGGATTGGCCAGCAAAAGGCCGAAATCAAGCAACGTTTCGGACTTTGACCGACCTATGTGAGGCGATATTGGCCAATGGGCGCATTGGCCGGCCAATCCGTGCATTGGCCGACTCCGGGCTTTGGCCGTAACATATATATATATATATATATATATATATATATATATATATATATATATATATATATATATATATATATATATATATATATATATATATATATATATATATATAAAGAGAGAGAGTTTGAGAGTGATAGCAAATTAGAGATATAGAAAGATAATGTTTCTTTTAATAAATGTATGATATATATATATATATATATATATATATATATATATATATATATATATATATATATATATATATATATATATATATATATATATATATATATATATATATATGTTTAAATTATTACATTCCAGAAGAGGTGTAACCATAACTTTCCGTTTTATTCACCCCCAATGTGATGGCGACGATTATTAATGGAAAACCTATGATTAAAAAACAAACAAAAATTAAACACACATTTACAAAAACAAGGTAATTAAAAAGTCTAGTGATAATTTTAGCGCAATTTCCTTATGTTATCTAAAAATAGCTCTGTCGTAGCGTAAATCAAGAGCAGGGTTAGTAAAACCATTGGTTAGTTATTAAAACGTTTTTTATTAATTTTTTTTTCAGTATTTTACATGTTTTATTTACAATAGAGTACATGACTAAAAACCATTGCGCGCCTACTGAACGTGATGGCGCAGCCATGGAACGCGATGGCGCAGCTATTGAACGTGATGACGCGTGTGGTGTGGTTGGAAAAAATGCCTACTAATTCGGTCCAAATTTTAATTAATTCAAATTTTTTTTTGACCAAACGAAAGGATATTTTTGAAAACTTTCTTCGGCAATATTGTTCTAAATTATGGCAGGAATCAATTGGTACATGTTTCAAGTCGCTAAGTGGTCTGGTTGCCGAGATTTTTTGGCTTTTCCGGGAAATCCGTGAAAGAAACTCGGAATTTTTATGGCCTATGTTCATCCTCGTAACTTGCTTAACATAATTGCTTTTGGAACTAGTCATCGATATTGCTTCGTTGAGGAGGAGATACGACTTAAAGCTGCGGACACACATCCATCCATCCATCCATTCATACATTCATACATCCAGAAATGACAGGTTAATAAACGCAATTCTCCAGAATGGAAATTGCGCTAAAAATATAAAATAATAATCCTATACGCTTTATATAAACTGAACTCACCCCATCCTGCAACACATGTTTTAAGTAGAAAAAATGTGAAGTGGGTGTTGAAAACAAGAATCAGACAAATAAACATGTAAACAGCGTTTACAGCCATCCAAGCCATTGTCGCAAGTAGAAAATAATGAATGAACGAGGCGACCATCTGTTTAAAATATAAACAAGAAATAATATGTTGAAAAATAGTTTAATAAAAACAATCATTTTAATTCCTTTAATATTATTATGAATTTGGTATATAAGACACAAAAAGTGTACAGTATTTCTGATATAAGTAATATTATTCTGATTTAGGTATTGAAGAAACAACAAATTGTAAGATAATACTGATATAAGTAATATTATGAATTTAGTATTTAAGAAACAAAAATTGTAAGATAATACTGATGTAGGCAATATTATTATGAATTTGGTATTTAAGTAAGATAATACTGATATAAGTAATAATATTAGGTATTTAGGAAACAAAAATTGTAAAAGAATGCTGATGTTCTAACATACCTTACACAAAAAAGTGTTCAAATATTGAGAATGCATTCCAAGCAACAGCACACAGTTAAATAGGAACATTGCCCAACACAGGTTGTATATGATGAGCGAGGACTCCTGGCTTCTCAGTTTTCTGATAAAACGTGATACTACTGTACTTTTCGATTTTTATTGTTGAATAATTCTAAATTTTATGTCATTTAATATATTAATTTATTACTAGTACAACCTGAAGTTTGCATCCAAGCAAATGCACTGTGGGAACGTAGCCTATTTTTTTTATAAGTGCCCAATTTTCTAAATTTTGCCCAATTTTGTCTCAAATAATTTCAACACAACACAGTTAAATATAGCCCAATGTAAACATAAAAACACAAATCTTGTTAATTTTTTTAACAAACCTTTGATCATTCTACTACCAAACCACTCCGTCGCAATAAACTAAATTAAGGAATAAATTTACCTGTAAACTGAGTACACAAATAAAGTCAAGGCCAGTCCGAATGTGGACGTGCCACAACCAACGTAAGTAATAATGGATAGAGCTTTGTCGTCTTCCACATTTGCATTTTTATTGGTTTCGTAAACATCCTTTAAATACATTTTAGTGAACAAGCTTAAGATTTTTAAAGCAAAAAGAATGACAATGTTTGATTCATAAAAATACTTTATAGTGTTTTCTTAAATAATTGAGTTTGGTTACCTAAAGACACAAGATTTCTTTATGTTTATGATCTCGTATATAAGAGATAAATATTACCGTCTACAAAAAATTAAATTAAATATTAACAGTTTTCACCGTTTTACACCAACCTGTATATCGTATACGGAATAATATATAAGATGCATTGTAATCGTGCAGAAATCTAAATCAAGGTTTTGACAAAGTTTGACATTTTATAATCGCGCGGAACCGGTGAATAAATATTTGAATTTTAATCCAATACTTTTGGGCGCGATCTTGAAGTGGTACTTTCTCGACTTCCGGTTTCACAGAAGGCCATAACTTGAGAACCGTTTATGATAAGTTTGACCGAAATTTAAACAGTATGTATTATGTTGTATGCAAAGACTTATGTCGACATTTGAACGATTTCCGGAAATCTTATTTTTCAATATAATGTAATTATTGTATGCTCAGGTATGCACACATAGTTGCGTTAATTTGTTAGCGAAATTCTTTTACTTCTAGATTCTATTATATTTTTTAAAAGTAAATATTAGTACAATTAATTTTTCTTTCAATTTTATAGCTCGGCTCTACTGATTCTGTCATATCAGAAAATAAGCGGACATTTACGGGAGCTTTCAATCCCGCGTTTCTTTTTTAATATCTTCTTACTGTAAAGGATAGTTATTGAGTTCCAAAAGTTAACACAATAGAAGGTGGTAGTATAACAAGAAACGCCTTTCTACCATAATCAGTGCAAAATTTGTAAGATGACTACAGGCACAGATAGTTTTCTCATTAGACGTCTCCACAACTCTACAGCCCACAGTGGACCAGTTTGCCGATGTCCCCGTGTGAGGCTCTACTCTATATGCACACTTTACTGGAATGATGCTCTGAAATAAATCACACATTTTAAAACTTTATTTTTTTAAGAAAGATATTTAAGCACACTTTACTGGAAACATGCTCTGAAATAAATCACACATTTATTTTAAAACTGTATTTTTTTTTAAGAAAGATATTTAAGCACACTTTATTGGGAGCATGTTCTAAAATAAATCACACACATTTTAAAACTGTATTTTTAAAGAAAAATATGTAAGCACACTTTACTGGAATGATGCTCTGAAAGAAATCACACACTTTAAAACTGTATTTTTTTAGGAAAAATATTTTAGCACACTTTACTGGAAACATGCTCTGAAATAAATCACACATTTTAAAACTGTATTTTTTAAGAAAAATATTTAAGCACACTTTATTGGAAACATGTTCTGAAATAAATCACACATTTTAAAACTGTATTTTATAAGAAAAATATGTAAGCACACTTTACTGGAATGATGCTCTGAAAGAAATCACACATTTTAAAACTGTATTTTTAAGAAAAATATTTTAGCACACTTTACTGGAAACATGCTCTGATATAAATCACACATTTTATAACTTATTTTTTTAAAAAGATATTTAAGCACACTATACCAGCAACATGCTCTAAAATAAATCCCACATTTTAAAACTGTATTTTTTAACCAAAAATATTTCAGCACACTTTACTGGAAACATGCTCTGAAATAAATCACACATTTTAAAACTTATTTTTTAAGAAAGATATTTAAGCACACTATACCAGCAACATGCTCTGAAATAAATCACACATTTTAAAACTGCTCTTTTTAAGAAAAATATTTAAGCAAACTATACCAGCAACAGGCTCTGAAATAAATCACACATTTCAAAACTGTATTTTTTTAGAAAAATATTTAAGCACACTTTACTGGAAACATGCTCTGAAATAAATCACACATTTTAAAACTTATTTTTTAAGAAAGATATTTAAGCACACTATACCAGCAACATGCTCTGAAATAAATCACACATTTTAAAACTGCTCTTTTTAAGAAAAATATTTAAGCAAACTATACCAGCAACAGGCTCTGAAATAAATCACACATTTTAAAACGATATTTTTTTTAGAAAAATATTTAAGCACACTTTACTGGAAACATGCTCTGAAATAAATCACACATTTTAAAACTTATTTTTTAAGAAAGATATTTAAGCACACTATACCAGCAACATGCTCTGAAATAAATCACACATTTTAAAACTGCTCTTTTTAAGAAAAATATTTAAGCAACCTATACCAGCAACAGGCTCTGAAATAAATCACACATTTTAAAACTGTATTTTTTTAGAAAAATATTTAAGCACACTTTACTGGAAACATGCTCTGAAATAAATCGCACATTTTAAAACTTATTTTTTAAGAAAGATATTTAAGCACACTATACCAGCAACACGCTCTGAAATAAATCACACATTTTAAAACGATATTTTTTTTAGAAAAATATTTAAGCACACTTTACTGGAAACATGCTCTGAAATAAATCACACACATTTTAAAACTGTATTTTTTAAGAAAAATATTTAAGAACACTTTTTTGTAAATATGCTCTAAAATAAATCACACACATTTTAAAACAGTATATTTAAGAAAGATATTTAAGCACACTATACCAGCAACATGCTCTAAAATAAATCACACATTTTAAAACTGTATTTTTTAAGAAAGATATTTAAGCACACTTTACCAGCATCATGCTCTAAAATAAATCACACATATTTTAAAACTGTATTTTTTTAAAGAAAAAACAATGAAAGTTGAAAACACAAAAACAAAATTTACCAATATTAAACATATAAAATCAGAGGAATGCAAGTAAGTCTTACTTTCTCTAGATGAATAAACGTGATTAAAAAATCGGGGTCAAGATCACGGACTGTAGTGTTTGGAATACTTGCTGATATGACGTAACTGTTGATTCTGGCAGCTTTACCACAATATTCATCTGACTTCATATATATATATATATATATATATATATATATATATATATATATATATATATATATATATATATATATATATATATATATATATATATATATATAAATATATATATTTATATATATATATATATATATATATATATATATATATATATATATATATATATATAAATATATGTATATATATATATATATATATGTATATATATATATATATATATATATATATATATATATATATATATATATATATATAGAGGGAGAGAGTGAGAGACACAGCTAAAGAGATAGATACACACATATGTGAATCTATAATAATAGTTTCGCTGTCTGTGTATCTGACAAGAACGCTCTGTCTGACAAGAACGCTCTAGAGAAAACACAAGCAATTTAAAAACATGCACAGTAATTCGAAAAACGAAATATGACGTCGACACATTTAGCGTAGAGTAGAACATAATCTCAAACCAGAGAGTGCACACAGTAATATGACGTCATTGATTGTCGCGTAAACATTGAAAACAAGGAAATGTTGTCTAATCTAAATGGTTTGCGTGAAGAGTTTCTTGCATACAATTCTTCGGGTAGGGGCGAAGCCCCACCCCCCGCGTAAGAACGTCTGAGCCCCCCCCCCCCCCCCTCCCCAACTCAAAAGAAATTTCTTCATCGATACTCTATAATAAAATTACCGCCTAATTAATGTGTCTAATCTAAAAAGTGGTTTTCTTGCAATGGGACGGTAGACATGTTTGTTTTTTTTTTTGGGGGGGGGGGGGTGTGTGTGTGGGGGGGTGGGGGGTGGGGGTGGGGGTGGGGGGGTGGTGTGTGGGGGGGTGGGTTGGTTTCAGTGTTTCTTTCAGACTTTTTCCTCCCCGGAGAGGGGTGGGGGTACTTGAAATTTTCGGGGGCGGGGGTATAATTTTCTGGGAGGGGGCGGACACTGGAAAAAGTATATAATTATATTTCGTTGAATGGGACGGTAGACATGTTTTTTTTTGGGGGTGGGGGGGGGGGGGTGGTGGTGTGTGGGGGGGGGGTGGGGGTGGTGTGTGTGGGGTGGGTTGGTTTCAGTGTTTCTTTCAGACTTTTTCCTCCCCGGAGAGGGGTGGGGTACTTGAAATTTTCGGGGGCGGGGGTAGAATTTTCTGGGAGGGGGCGGACACTGGAAAAAGTATATAATTATATTTCGTTGAATGGGACGGTAGACATGATTTTTTTGGGAGTGGGGGGTGGGGGGTGGGGGGTGGGAGGTGGGGGGTGGCGGGGGGGGGGGTGGTGGGGGGGGGGGGGGTGGGGGGTGGTGTGTGGGGGGGGGGGTGGGGGTGGTGTGGGGGGGGTGGCGGGTGGTGTGTGGGGGGTGGGGGTGGGGGGGGGTGTGTGGGGGGTGGGGGTGGGTGGTGTGTGGAGGTGTGTGTGTGGGGGTGGGGGTGGGTGGTGTGTGGAGGTGTGTGTGTGGGGGTGGGGGGGTGGGGTGGGGTGGTTTCCTCATCGATACTCTATAATAAAATTACCACCTAATTAATGTGTCTAATCTAAAAAGTGGTTTTCTCGCAATTTCTTTAATGCAATTCTTCGCGTAGTGGCTAAGCGCGACACCAGTGTTTCTTTCAGACTTTTTCCTCCCCGGAGAGGGGCAGGGGGTACTTGAGGTTTTCGGGGGCGGGGGTAGAATTTTCGGGAAGGGGGCGGACACTGGAAAAAGTATATAATTATATTTCGTTGAATGGGACGGTAGACATGTTTTTTTGGGGGGTGGGGGTGGGTGGGTGGGGGTGGGTGGGGGGAGGTGTGTGGGGGGGTGGGGGTGGTGGGGGTGGGGGTGGGGGTGGTGGGGGTGGGGGTGGGTGGTGTGTGGGGGGTGGAGGTGTGTGTGGGGGTGGGGGTGGGGGTGGTGTGTGTGGGGTGGGGGGGGTGTGTGGGGGGGGTGGGATGGTTTTAGTTTAGAGAAAAGAGACAGCACTATCAGCCTAGCGCCCGTTGTACCCTTCCTCAACGGGCCATTTATCTAGTATCTATAATAATAGTTTCGCTGTCTCTCTATCTATCTATCTGTCTGACAAGAACGCTCTAGAGAAAAGACAAGGAAAATAAAAACATGCACAGTAATTCGAAAAACGAAGTATGACGTCGACACATTTAGCGCACAGAGTAGAAAATAATCTCAAGCCGGATAGTGCACACATTGATATGACGTCATTGATTATCGATATTCAATACAAAGGCAATTTGGTCTAATCTAAGTGGTTTGCGTTAAGAGTTTCTTTCATACAATTCTTCGGGTAGGGGCGAAGCCCCACCCCCGCGTAAGAACGTCTGAGCCCCCCCCCCCCTCCCCAACTCAAAAGAAATTTCCTCATCGATACTCTATAATAAAATTACCGCCTAATTAATGTGTCTAATCTTAAAAGTGGTTTTCTTGCAATGGGACGGTAGACATGTTTTTTTTTTTTGGGGGGGGGGGGGGGGGGTGGAGGGGTGGGGGGGTGGTGTGTGTGTGGGGGGGGGGATGGAGGGGCGGGGGGGGGGGTGGTGTGTGTGGGGGGGGGTGGGGGGGGGTTGGTTTCAGTGTTTCTTTCAGACTTTTTCCTCCCCGGAGAGGGGTGGGGGGTACTTGAAATTTTCGGGGGCGGGGGTAGAATTTTCTGGGAGGGGGCGGACACTGGAAAAAGTATATAATTATATTTCGTTGAATGGGACGGTAGACATGTTTTTTTTTTGGGGGGGGGGGGTGTGGAGGGGTGGGGGGGTGGTGGTGTGTGTGTGGGGGGTGGGGGGTGTGGGGGTGGGGGGTGGGGGTGGGTTGGTTTCAGTGTTTCTTTCAGAGTTTTTCCTCCCCGGAGAGGGGTGGGGGTAATTGAAATTTTCGGGGGCGGGGGTAGAATTTTCTGGGAGGGGGCGGACACTGGAAAAAGTATATAATTATATTTCGTTGAATTGGACGGTAGACATGTTTTTTTTGGGGGGTGGGGGTGGAGAGGGGGGGGGGGTGGAGGGGTGGGGGGGGCGGTGTGTGGAGGGGGTGGTGTGTGTGGGGGGTGGGGGTGGGGGGTGGTGTGTGGGGTGGGGGGTGGGGGTGGTGTGTGGGGGGTGGGTTGGTTTTAGTTTAGAGAAAAGAGACAGCACTATCAACCTAGCGCCCGGTGTATCCTTCCTCAACGGGCCATTTTTCTCGTCTACATATATTTATTATAATATTTACTAGCCGTCCCGACCAGGCCCTGCTCTGGCTTCTGTGAAAAACCTTTCTGTTAAAGATCGTTACCTGTGTGTTTAGTAATCAACATTAACCCGGCATTGCCCACCCAAACCACAACCAACCAAAACAACAAAACGCAAACATAACGCTAACACAAATACAAATACAAACGAAAACAAAAACCTAACAACAAACCCAACCAAAATCATAAACACCAATACAAACACAAAGAAAAAACAAACAAAAAAGCAAACGAAAACAAAAACCTAACAACAAACCCAACCACAACCACAAACACCATACGAACACAAAGAAAAAACAAACGAAAAAGCAAACGAAAACAAACCAAATCCAAACGCAAAACCAACCACAAACACAAATACAAACACAAACCAAAAGAAAAAAACACAAACGAAAACGAAAAAGAAAGAATAAAAAACGAACCAAATCAAAACGCAACCACTAACGCAAACCCAACCTTAACACAAAGAAAACACTAACGCGAACATAAACGCAAAGTGCTCACAGTCTAGTCCGGGGCAGAATCGCCTGTTTTAGCTTAATAATCGACTATAGTACCCCAACTTATTCATAGTCTTTTTGCACTTACTTGAACGAACGTAGGTGCCAACCCAAACCAAATGAACAATTATAATACTCCAAGCTTATTCGCAAAATACCTAGAACATTTGCACTTGACCAATCCCCGCTAATTATGTAATTATTTTTTTCCCAACACCAAAACAAAGTAATAAAAATAAATTCTTTTTGCAACGTTTTATAAAGGGAAGTAATTGTGTTTTCCTAATTTATCAAAGGGAAGTAAGTACTAAAGGACTAAATATAAATAATTTTCAGACATAATTAGAATTTTTGTTATTTTTTAAAAATTGTGCTTACTGAACATGCTGACAATTATTACTATCAGTTTGAAAAATGAAAATTATTTCCCAACACTTTCAATAGTAATTTTTTAACTCATAAATTTAGACTATTAGTACGATATTAGTCTAACACTTAATTCCATAGAAGTATGTCAACGACAAACTTATTTTTACATACAGAATTGAGCTTTATATATTAGTTTGATTTATATGTATATAACGCAGTAGACAGCTAGACTGCTATCCCGAAAGTCTCGAGTTTCCATCCGGGTTCAAGTCAAGAGACTGTCGAAGAGTCCACGCTGATGTGACTGTGGCTTTTGTCACGTTACAGAAAGCGAAGGCGTATGGGCATAGTGCTGACCGCACTATCCCTTCATAGTCAAGGTCTCCGAAACAGATCAACTATGCTTTTTATGTACTATGTGTTTTGAGTACGGATTGCAATGCATGGTATAATATATATATATATATATATATATATATATATATATATATATATATATATATATATATATATATATAGGCCTCTGTGTATACATTACATTTAAAAAGTCATCCTTTTGAAAGACCGAAAAAGCAAGCCTTTTTCCAATAACTTTTTCTCTGCTACCAAACAACACTTCCATCGATGCCAACGAAATTGACATTGTATTTAAATCACTCGCTTTGTTCTCCTCTATTCCTTGCACGTTCGTCTGTGGATATTAAATGTAAGCCAAAGGAGCAGAGCTTTAAATATTCATATTCATAAGTTTTTTTTTTCATAAATGTTATTCTTAATTCAAAAAATGTATTCTTCATCTTCTTCTTCGTTCTTAATTTTAGTGTTGAAAGTGATTCCCTCCAACACAATTAAGTATACGTGTCAACTGGTTTTGCGCCATTGAGGCCATTGACTCCGATTTCAGCCTGCTCATCTTTTTTGGGATTTGCTTCCCTAGCCTTTGTCCAACCAAGAACAAAAAAAAGCCGCTTCATAACTTTAAAGTATGGTTTTGTCATTCATTCATCTACCTGACTATTTTAAGTAGTACTCACAAATACTAAATTACAAATAAAAAAAAATTGCTAATTTTATATCCTTCACATAATATGTGTAAAGAACTTAGAATAATATATTATTTTATTTAGATTTTTTACACACAGTAAATCTTCATGTTATTAAACATCAAGGTTTCTTTCAGGTATGTTTTTTTTTCTGGAAGAGTTCGAACTGGAAACTTTCAGTGGAGGGGCGCACTTTAACTTCTGTGGTGGATGGGGCTAGGGAGCTCTGTTTAAAGTATATGTATTATATTCCGTATGAATTATATATTGCTTCTATTGAGTACAGTCATAGAGAGGCGGTGAATTTGGGGGTGGCTGAAAGAAACACTGCTAAACATTAGGGCCCCATATAATCTTATCCGAGGCCTAACATGCTATTTACAATGAATTTAAGATTACTGAACCTTGCTTTCATTCAACTGATGTGAAGACTCTGTTCCAACTGTCATTTGAATGTACCCCGAGTTGAATTCTTCTAATTTTATCGCGAGCACAGCAAACGCAGGCTGCACTGATTTAAAGGTTGCTGACGTGAATAAGACTCTTTCAGGTATGCGTTGTACAATTTTCAACAATCTGTCGGGAAATAAAAAATTAACGTTAATGTCTAACAATTGGTCTAACGGTAGGCCTACAGAGATAGACTGATAACCCAAAAGCCTCGAGTTCGAATCCACCCAGCTCTCAAGACTCACGTTAGGGAAACAAAGGCTGCTAGGCATAGAGATGACCATACTATCCCTTCATATGCCGAGGTATCTCAAACCGATGATATTTACTTCATCTTCCCCATGTGTTTTTGGCACGAACGGGAATAACATTTTGAAAGTCTTTAACTGATATTACATAGGAAAAAATGGATTTCAACATCTGGCATTTAAAAAAAAAATTCGTGTCAATGTACAAAATAAAAAGCGTATAACAGTGTGGCCTTTTATAACAAAATATAATAAATCATAAAATAAATTTATAATTACAGGTATTTAGAACTTCTCAATAAAATACGACGTTATCAATATGATCTTTATAATAATACATGCTTAAAAACAAATAATGAAATAGAATTAGAAGCAGTGTTGAATGCAAGATAATGCAAGGTAGTGTAAATGTATACCTGTGCATATCTGATGATGATTCCGCTTTGTCGGCAGAATCTTTCAAGCTTAGAAGTTTCGTAACGCTAGCCATGATATTCCTCACGAGAATTCCATCTTCGATAATACTGTCCTGAGTCAAATTTTCTAATTGAGTTATAAAATTGCTTATTTTATGCACTTCGTACGTTTCCAGAAGGCTAATGGTACTCAATAGGAGCGCTGATTCGGCTTGAATTACTTGGGGGTGGGGGGTGGTGTGTGGGGTGGGGGGTGGGGGTGGTGTGTGGGGGGTGGGTTGGTTTTAGTTTAGAGAAAAGAGACAGCACTATCAACCTAGCGCCCGGTGTATCCTTCCTCAACGGGCCATTTTTCTCGTCTACATATATTTATTATAATATTTACTAGCCGTCCCGACCAGGCCCTGCTCTGGCTTCTGTGAAAAACCTTTCTGTTAAAGATCGTTACCTGTGTGTTTAGTAATCAACATTAACCCGGCATTGCCCACCCAAACCACAACCAACCAAAACAACAAAACGCAAACATAACGCTAACACAAATACAAATACAAACGAAAACAAAAACCTAACAACAAACCCAACCAAAATCATAAACACCAATACAAACACAAAGAAAAAACAAACAAAAAAGCAAACGAAAACAAAAACCTAACAACAAACCCAACCACAACCACAAACACCATACGAACACAAAGAAAAAACAAACGAAAAAGCAAACGAAAACAAACCAAATCCAAACGCAAAACCAACCACAAACACAAATACAAACACAAACCAAAAGAAAAAAACACAAACGAAAACGAAAAAGAAAGAATAAAAAACGAACCAAATCAAAACGCAACCACTAACGCAAACCCAACCTTAACACAAAGAAAACACTAACGCGAACATAAACGCAAAGTGCTCACAGTCTAGTCCGGGGCAGAATCGCCTGTTTTAGCTTAATAATCGACTATAGTACCCCAACTTATTCATAGTCTTTTTGCACTTACTTGAACGAACGTAGGTGCCAACCCAAACCAAATGAACAATTATAATACTCCAAGCTTATTCGCAAAATACCTAGAACATTTGCACTTGACCAATCCCCGCTAATTATGTAATTATTTTTTTCCCAACACCAAAACAAAGTAATAAAAATAAATTCTTTTTGCAACGTTTTATAAAGGGAAGTAATTGTGTTTTCCTAATTTATCAAAGGGAAGTAAGTACTAAAGGACTAAATATAAATAATTTTCAGACATAATTAGAATTTTTGTTATTTTTTAAAAATTGTGCTTACTGAACATGCTGACAATTATTACTATCAGTTTGAAAAATGAAAATTATTTCCCAACACTTTCAATAGTAATTTTTTAACTCATAAATTTAGACTATTAGTACGATATTAGTCTAACACTTAATTCCATAGAAGTATGTCAACGACAAACTTATTTTTACATACAGAATTGAGCTTTATATATTAGTTTGATTTATATGTATATAACGCAGTAGACAGCTAGACTGCTATCCCGAAAGTCTCGAGTTTCCATCCGGGTTCAAGTCAAGAGACTGTCGAAGAGTCCACGCTGATGTGACTGTGGCTTTTGTCACGTTACAGAAAGCGAAGGCGTATGGGCATAGTGCTGACCGCACTATCCCTTCATAGTCAAGGTCTCCGAAACAGATCAACTATGCTTTTTATGTACTATGTGTTTTGAGTACGGATTGCAATGCATGGTATAATATATATATATATATATATATATATATATATATATATATATATATATATATATATATATATATATAGGCCTCTGTGTATACATTACATTTAAAAAGTCATCCTTTTGAAAGACCGAAAAAGCAAGCCTTTTTCCAATAACTTTTTCTCTGCTACCAAACAACACTTCCATCGATGCCAACGAAATTGACATTGTATTTAAATCACTCGCTTTGTTCTCCTCTATTCCTTGCACGTTCGTCTGTGGATATTAAATGTAAGCCAAAGGAGCAGAGCTTTAAATATTCATATTCATAAGTTTTTTTTTTCATAAATGTTATTCTTAATTCAAAAAATGTATTCTTCATCTTCTTCTTCGTTCTTAATTTTAGTGTTGAAAGTGATTCCCTCCAACACAATTAAGTATACGTGTCAACTGGTTTTGCGCCATTGAGGCCATTGACTCCGATTTCAGCCTGCTCATCTTTTTTGGGATTTGCTTCCCTAGCCTTTGTCCAACCAAGAACAAAAAAAAGCCGCTTCATAACTTTAAAGTATGGTTTTGTCATTCATTCATCTACCTGACTATTTTAAGTAGTACTCACAAATACTAAATTACAAATAAAAAAAAATTGCTAATTTTATATCCTTCACATAATATGTGTAAAGAACTTAGAATAATATATTATTTTATTTAGATTTTTTACACACAGTAAATCTTCATGTTATTAAACATCAAGGTTTCTTTCAGGTATGTTTTTTTTTCTGGAAGAGTTCGAACTGGAAACTTTCAGTGGAGGGGCGCACTTTAACTTCTGTGGTGGATGGGGCTAGGGAGCTCTGTTTAAAGTATATGTATTATATTCCGTATGAATTATATATTGCTTCTATTGAGTACAGTCATAGAGAGGCGGTGAATTTGGGGGTGGCTGAAAGAAACACTGCTAAACATTAGGGCCCCATATAATCTTATCCGAGGCCTAACATGCTATTTACAATGAATTTAAGATTACTGAACCTTGCTTTCATTCAACTGATGTGAAGACTCTGTTCCAACTGTCATTTGAATGTACCCCGAGTTGAATTCTTCTAATTTTATCGCGAGCACAGCAAACGCAGGCTGCACTGATTTAAAGGTTGCTGACGTGAATAAGACTCTTTCAGGTATGCGTTGTACAATTTTCAACAATCTGTCGGGAAATAAAAAATTAACGTTAATGTCTAACAATTGGTCTAACGGTAGGCCTACAGAGATAGACTGATAACCCAAAAGCCTCGAGTTCGAATCCACCCAGCTCTCAAGACTCACGTTAGGGAAACAAAGGCTGCTAGGCATAGAGATGACCATACTATCCCTTCATATGCCGAGGTATCTCAAACCGATGATATTTACTTCATCTTCCCCATGTGTTTTTGGCACGAACGGGAATAACATTTTGAAAGTCTTTAACTGATATTACATAGGAAAAAATGGATTTCAACATCTGGCATTTAAAAAAAAAATTCGTGTCAATGTACAAAATAAAAAGCGTATAACAGTGTGGCCTTTTATAACAAAATATAATAAATCATAAAATAAATTTATAATTACAGGTATTTAGAACTTCTCAATAAAATACGACGTTATCAATATGATCTTTATAATAATACATGCTTAAAAACAAATAATGAAATAGAATTAGAAGCAGTGTTGAATGCAAGATAATGCAAGGTAGTGTAAATGTATACCTGTGCATATCTGATGATGATTCCGCTTTGTCGGCAGAATCTTTCAAGCTTAGAAGTTTCGTAACGCTAGCCATGATATTCCTCACGAGAATTCCATCTTCGATAATACTGTCCTGAGTCAAATTTTCTAATTGAGTTATAAAATTGCTTATTTTATGCACTTCGTACGTTTCCAGAAGGCTAATGGTACTCAATAGGAGCGCTGATTCGGCTTGCTTCGACAAAACGACGAGTCCCGAAGAAGTTGCTTCTAGATTGTTTTCTTCTTCATTTCCTTTACAAAAATAATAAATGTAAACATCAAATTGTATTTATCAACAACTTTTCTTCTTCACTTCCTTACAGATTAATAAATGTAATTATCGAATTATATTTATCAACAAATTTTCTTTTTCATTTCCTTAAAAAATAATAAATTAAATCATCGAATTATATTGATCAACAACAAAATTTATAAATTAAAGCATCGCATATAATTGTATTTATCAACAACAACCACAAACCAAACAAAATTAAATATTTTGCACAATTACTTATTATTTTTGTATTTGAACTTAAATCTATGTACATAGTTTGCTGGTAAAAAATATTTGTTCAGCATAAAAAAGTATTTTTGCACACATTTTTTTTTTCAATTTTAAGTTTCATTTTTGAATTTGTAATAGTGTAACAATTAGCATTGGCTTAATTCTTATACGGCTTGTATAATGGGTAAGATTTTAGGAATATTTTTAAAAATCGTAACTGCCAAGTAAATATATAAAACATGAATCATGTTTAGGTAAACAGAATGAAATGTGTACATGAAATATGCAATGTGCAAGTAACACAGTAATTGTGTTAATACACAAAAATAATTCTGCATATATCTCAAGCATTGTTGACTTTAAGCAAAACAAAACTCAGTTGTCACTCATGAGAGGTTTTGAATTTATATTTAAAACAATGATGATAGCAATGGAATAGAGTGGGGGGGGGAGTGGTTTCTCAACCAATATAAATGCGTCATAAGAAGCCATAAGCTAATAAGGTTCCCCTTACCCAAAAGTATTCATTCATGTAAAAATACTAACAAAAAATTTAGAGAATTTAAACACCAAAAAGCGGTTTCT